ATGGAGCAGAGAACAAAATGAAGAAGACAAACTGACAACTAATGACAGAAAAAGAGCTCAACAGAAATGAGGCAGAGAAGATTGGATGATAGGAACAGCTATTTTGGAGAAAATGACGTCTTAATAGGTAATACTGATTTAGTATCATCTTGTTTTGAAGTCTCATCAAACTTTTGTTCTTCTGTCTCCATTGGTCTAAACAGGTTGTATCTTATTGGATTTTATTATGCACAATAGTATAAGCAAAAACTTTTAAAGACAAGGAGATTATACAGAAACCATTGTTCATTTTCTGTTAGTTGATTCTAAATACCCTGTAATGCTGTCATTCTCTTAAATGGTTTTACATTGTTTTGATATATTTAATGCTACAATATACGAAGTTGTACTCAAGGATTTCAAGGAAAGAGACAATATGGTAACTACTTTTATGTCAGGATTATCTTGTGGTGAAACACTATTCTGCTTAAATGGTTACGTTTTTATCTGCGCTGTTTTGCTGTTATGCCCTCTTTTATCTCAATCTCCACTCCATTATTTACTTTTTTATTTTTATCATTTTAATTAAGGGAAAAATAAATAAAATAGCAGGATATATTATAGCAACCCACTTTGACTTTCCATTATCTTGATTTAAAGCCCTGTATTACTCTCACCATCTTGTTTTTGACTGATGTCCCCCTATTCTGCTTTGCTGGATAGTACCAGGTTCGAAAGTTTAGGCAACAGCTGTGAAGATAGTGAGATTCATTATGACGCCCATTCTCGATGACTTTTATCTACTTTTGAAGACTTACAATGTCTCCAATGTTTTGGTTTTGTCGGTTTTGTTCTTTACTGTTTTGTTCAATTTTATTATCTGATGATATAGGCAATTCTATTAGAGATAGCGGGAGGCATTATGGTAACCATTATTGATCACCTTGTATTATGCTTTTACATTATCTATTATGTCCACTCTTTTGATTTGATTGACTCTGTTCTGTTATGTCACATTTGGTTCTACTCCCTTCCAAAAAAGTAATAAGAACTGTGGGAGTAACAAAACCCAAAATGTGTAATTGTCATTGTACAAAAGAGAGGAAAAGAAAGTGCTCTAAATGATATAACTGCATGTATGTTTAAGTGTATAAGATAGAAAATGATATCACTGAGTTTTATTGGATCATTGAACAGAACTGTTTGCAGTCTCACTGTTGGAATGTCCACTTTACAAGCTTTAACTTTGTGACTTGAACAATTATTTCTAAGATGACAATATGTAATCCATTAACTAGTGATTTCCTACTGTTTATTTTTTTCTGTAAATCTGTATAACTTATACCCTTTCTCTGCTTTTTTTTTTTCTCCTTAAATAAAATTAAAAAGAAAAAAAAGGTAAAAGAATGAGTCATTTGCAATGAATGACAAGTCCTCTCCTCTGGCTATGTAGCAAGACACTCAAAAAAAATAAATAAATAAAGCAAAACAAGAAGTGCTAGAGAAAGGATAGTAAAACAAAAACAAAGACTACCTAACACTAATATGTAGTTATTTTTCCTTCAATTAGAGTATATCATTTATTCACTTCTATTAACTATAGTGGTGGTAATGACAATTCAGCATTTTTTCTCCACTTTTGTGTTCTACTGATTTGCATTATGTGTAATGCCTAAGATTCTGTCATTAATATTTTCCCTCCAATTCACAAAGTGATAACATAGAGGCAGTACATTGTCTCCTGCTTTTCAATTACTACTATTTTATGATAGTAATCAAATCCTCTAATTTTCTTACCTTACTGCTTTTTCTTCCCACAATTCCAGAAGCCCTCTTATTTCTTAGTCAGGTTAGAGTCTATAATTCTTCATCCCAATAGCACTTGATAATACCTTTGGACGATATGTCTGGCATAAATGCCACTCTGGAGGAGCCCAGTATGTATATTTTACTATCTACCATGAACAATTCAAGCACTGTTTCAGAATGTTACACAGCAGGACTAGTTAGGACCTATAAATTCATGAATAGCAACAACAAAGGTGACTTCCAATCAGGTCTAGAAATCTACTTGGTTTCTGTGGCTAACTTACTTGCCCTTTCTTTACAACTACTTCAAAACTTTGCTAGGATCTTAACTACCAAATCACCCACATTCTCCTATAATCCTAACAAGACCTTAAGTCATTCTTTTCAGAAAAACAAACAAACAAACAAAAAAAAAACAAATGAAGCTGTCATCTGAGAATTCTCTAAATTCTTCATTATTAAATCTATAGACTATCCTCACAGCCAAATTATCAATCTTCTTTATCTCTCCTTCTGTTCCTTTTACTAAGATGCACTCCAATCTTTATGTATTAAAATATTATCCTTTTCTTTTTTTAGAAGCTAGATATTCCTTTTTTTGTACCAGGGATTGAACTCATGACCTCATGCTTGCAAGGCAGGCACTTAAACCACTGAGCTAAATTCCTGGCCTAGAAATTTGATATTCTTTTTTTTTTTTTTTTTTTTTTTTTTGGTCTTTTTCATTTTTATCGGTACCAGGGATGGAACTCACAACTGAAATTTGATATTCTTTATCATCACTGATGCAGTCTTCTGTACATTCAAGACATTCATTTTTATTTGTTTGTTTTGTTTTTTTAAAGTGTTTCACTATGCAGTTCAGGCTGGCCTTTAACTCATTTTGTAGCCCAGTCTGGCTCCAGATTCTCTTGCCTCAGCTTCCCAAGTACTGAGACTACAGGCCTGTGCCAACATACTTGGCTAAAAACACTGCTGAGTAAATTACCTTTTTAATTTTCTTGGGCTTCTGCTATATTAATCACATAATCTACAATGACTAATATGACAAAAGTTAAACTGGTCATCGATACCTACTAAAGAGACCAGCAAAATATGGGGGAAATGGTTTCTGAAACACACGTTTGATCATGTCACTTCCAGTTAACTCACCCCTTAGCAGCTCTCATGAAATTCTATGATCCCACCAACCACAAGGTCTTCATTTGTTGCCTGTCCCCCCCCCACCCCCGGTTTTTGTTTTTTTTTTTTTTTGCTTTTTTCCAGTACCAGAGATCGAACTCACAAATTTGCACTTCTTCAGTCAGGCGCTAAGCTAAATCTCCAGCCCCCTAACACAGTGTGTGGTCCTTTTTTTGTGGTTTTGTTTTTTGAGACACGGTCTCACAATGTAGTTCAGGCTGACCTAGAACTTACAATTATTCTCCTGCCTCAGACTCCCAAGTGTTGGGGTTACAGGTGTAACCTGTAGTTTAGGTTGACCTTGACCTTATCACATAGCACAGGCTTGAACTCTCAGTGATCCTCCTGCCTCAGCCTCCCAAGTGCTGGGATTACAGGCATGTGCTGCCATGCCTAGCTTGGTTCTAAGAACTATATACTTGAGACATTACTTAACCACTCCATTTCCTCATCTGAAAACAGGATAAGAACACACCTCACAAAATGCTCAAGTCACACAGCATAAGAGTTAAATTAAGGAAGACTATTCCAGAAAAAGGCAGCAGCATCCAGATGTGGTGGCACACACGTAACTCCAATACTTGGGAGATGGAGGCAGGAGGATAGTTGCAAGTTCAAGGCCAGTCTGAACTTGGTCAATTATAATGACTAATGAATTAATATAGAAAAGGGTCACAAAAATACTGTAAGATCACACAGCAAACATTATATGATAACACTATTATTTTCCAGGTATCATCTCAATGATAACTTCTTCATGTAAGCTTTTTCTCAAGCTGTCAGGTTTGGCAAGGAAATTTTGATTTTGAACCTACAGAAATTCTTTTAGAATCCTTCAGTTTTTAATGAGCTAGGTATTTATTTAGTGACTTACTAACTTCTGTTTGTCTCACTAGACTACAAAATTCATGTAAGAAAAGACTGATAGGCCCTGCCACTTTGTACTCTCCATACTAATTAAGTAAAAAAAGAAGAAGAAGAAAAACAAAAAAGAAGTAGCTAACTCAAATCTAGTTTCAAGGATATTATATTCTATTTGTAAATTATCAGCTGGGCATGGTAGCACACACACCTGTAATTCCAGCACTTGAAAGGCTGGGGCAGACAGATTGCTATGAGTTTGAGGCCAGCCTGGACTGCACAGCAAAACCAAAAGAAAAAAAGAGAAAAATATCTGAAATATCTTATTTCCAAATAGTATATTTTCAAAGTTTACGTTTTGAAGTTTTAAAATATCCAACAAATGCGTAACTATTAATTACCAGTACCCTCTCAAATACAAATGTCTGGGCTGGGTGTGGTAGTGTATGCCTGTAACTTCAGCACTCTGGGAGGCTGATGCAGGAGGACTGGAAGCTCAAGTCTGGCTTGGACAATGTGACCAGATTTATCTCAAATTTAAACAAAGGGCTGGGGGTGTATAAAGGCCCCTGCTTCAACCCCAGAGCCCCTTTCCACCATACACACATCAAGTGCTATAAAAAGAGGTATTGGATACCTCCTTTGTTAGTATGTAGCTATAAAACCAGGAACTTTGATATTCATTTGATATTCTCCACAGCCTATAATACGGTTGCTTGTGCAATGGAATTACAACACAAGGGATTTTTTTTTTTTTTGTAGTTTCTTGAAATATCCTACCACTGAGCTACATCCCCAGCCCTAAGATATTTTGGTTGAGTGGATTAAGATGAAGTGGACACGTTGCTTTTCTGTAGGGCTAATGGTGCAAGCACAGTTCACAACATAGGAGCAAACACAAATACTTGCTCTTCCCAAAAATGTTGATGATTCTTGACACATTCTGAGAAGACTTCAAACCTATACTGCATCTCCTAATTTTCTTGTAGTAAATCACTATAAAATAATAAATGACATACCTAATATTTAAAGTCAATACAAATTTTTATTAAGCATGTATGGGTATTCATACAGAGTACAATCATCTATCTTAGGCATTCTAATCTAGGACTCACTGAATAACTTGTTATTCTTGAAAGAAAACTGAGGTAAACTATCACAACTCATACCTGGTGTGTAAGTAAAACGTTGAGACTGGCTTTTTTTCCTCTTGCCATTGCAAAGATAAAAGTGCACCTGCACTGCAGCTGTAACTGCTGGGTTATGATAGGGAGGAACTTCAAGGACAATGTGAGCCTAAGGAGCAGGGAAAGCAAGATTGTGTTACAGTCAGAACTAAAAATAAAATGCACCTGCCAAATTCAGAGAAACTCATGAGCCTAACTGCAAGGCTCTCCCAACATATGTACATTGACTGCTCAATAAGTCATCTAGAGATTTATTATACATGCAGATACTTCACAACTGACTGAGACAAACCTTTAAATCATTAAAAGAAAGACTGCATTTTTGTTTTGAGAAGAGGATTCACTATGCTGCTCAGGCTGATCTCAAACAGTAAGCTCAAGTAATCTTCCTGTTTGAGCTTTCCCAAAGTCAAGATTATAGATATGCACCATCATGCCCAGCTTAGAAATTGCTTTTTACTTATTCAACTGGGTTTCTAGTTGCCTTAAAAATAAAAAATTTTATCATGTATTATGTAGCAATGTAGCAAAATATTTTGCTTTACTGAATATTACAAGTTACTATATAATTTTTGTTTGTTTGTTTGTTTTGAGACAGAGTATTACCATATCCTCCAGGTTGGCCTTGAATGCATGCTGTAACCCAGGCTGGCCTTGAACTCATAGTGATCCTTCTGCCTTAGCCTCCTCAGTGCTGAGATGACAGATGTGTGCTACCACATGCCTGGCCCTACCTTATCTTAACATTCTGGTTGTTAATCATGCTTAATATTTCTCATACTGCACCATGGTTTAGATTACCTATCATACATTTTATATTGAAAATATTCTAAATTCACAATATACAAAATCTATATCCATACTAAAAATAATTTTAGTCAGTGGTGCATGCTTGTAATCCCAGATATTTAGAAGGATGAGGTAGCATGATGGTAAGTGGAGCCTTACCTGGGCAAGTTAATGAGAACCTGTCTCAAATAAATAAGTAAATAAATAAATATAAATATGTAAGAATCCTGGCATGGTGGTGCATTCCTTAACCGTAGCACTTGGGAGACTGAAGAAGGAGGATCATTAATACAAGTCGAAGGCCAGCCTGAACTACATAGTGAGACTTGGTCTCAAAGAAAGGAAAACAACAACAATGACAAGAGCAAAAAATTATCATAAAAAGGGATGGGAAATGTTGCTCAGTAGTACAGTGTGTCCCTGGATTTAATCCTCAGTACCACAAGTCTTATACAGGGAAAGGTGAAAATCTTTATAGTGTCTCACCAAACACAAGCTTCAAACATTGCTTTAGTAAGCACTGAGGTGAGATGGTATCTCTTAGCCCAGAAGAGACTTTTATCTCCATTCCAAAGAATATAAGGACCACAGTTTTCAGTATGGAATTCTGAAAGGCTTAATAAGGTATCTGAGGAGTTAGGTATAGTGTATGTTAAAAATATAAATCACGGCCAGGTATTTAGCTCAGCAGCATAAGCACCTATCTGGCAAGCACAAGGTTGTGAGTTCAATTGCCAGTACAGAAAAAACAGCAACAAAAAGCTACATTATTTTCCTACTTTTTGGCTACTATGTGTGTGTTTTACTAAATTTATTTTGTTTTTTTCAATGAATTAAGATAAATAAAATATTAGTAAGATAATCTATACAATTTTACTTCATTTATTTTTCCCCCCTTCCCCCAGTAATGGGGACTGAACCTAAGGCTTTTGTACTGAGCTAAATTTTCAGATCTTTTTTAATTTTTTATTCTGAGACAGGGTCCCCCTAAGTTGTTAAATTGCTGAGGCTAGACTCAAAAAATTTATGAGTCTTCTGCTTTTGCCTTTTTTGCTTTTTTGTAAGACTGTCTCAATCTGCAGTTCAGGCTAGCCTTGAACTCATTATGTAACCTAGGTTGGTTTCAAACTCACAGTAATCCTCCTGCCTCAGCCTCTCAAGTGCTGGGATTACAGGCATCTGCTTTAAACTTCTTTAACCTTTCAGAGAGCTGGGCTCATAGGTATGTGCCACAACTCTGACAAATTTTTCTTTCTAATATATAAAACAGAAAGACACATTTATTTCTCCTAATCTTTAATTTTAAAACTTTTTAAAAATTCTAATTTACTTTTTAAATTTCTCAATATTCTTGTCTATATCATAAAGCAGCATTATTTAATTTTCTCATAAGATTGTTGCATATTTCTTAAGAATTAAGGCAAACTTCTTACCCCTTGGCATTTTTCTTTGATTATTTTCCCTTCTACTTCCCATTGAGGTCGTCCATCTATTGAAAGAAACAATTAAAAGCAATTCAAGTCAGAAACCACATAAAACAAATCTCATGCACACAGTATCACATTTACGTCAAAAAAAATCTTTTTCTCACTGATTTCCAATATGAAAAGAAAGTGTAATAACAGAGAAAACAGAGACAGACTTCAGGCCAACTACTTTAATCTACTCATCTATTTAAGTGATACTTGGAAGCTCTCTGGGAGCAGCCCAACAAGTGGTGAGCAACTTAACCTGTGTGCCTCAAGTGATGAGAAGCCCCTCCCTCACCATGTAACCCATTCCATTTTTGAAATATAATTAGTGGTTGATCATATGTTCAAGGGAAAACCAAATGACTCAAAAACAGATGTGTTTAAACAGTGAAGAAAGATGGAATGTTTCATTAAACTTACTTTGACATTTAGAAATATAAATTCCTCTCTAAATCAGTAAGAAAATGAAAAACTTGATGGAAAAAAACAGGCAACAACACAAAAAAGGAAACATCAAAGGTCTATAAAAACAATAGGCCAGGGGGCTTGCCTGGCAAGCTTGAAGTCCTGAGTTTAATTTCCAGTATTCCCCTCAAACAACAACAACAAAACAACAACAACAAAAAACCCCAACAAAACCATAGGCCATGCATGATGGTGCACACCTGTAATCCCAACACGGAAGGCTGAGGCATGAGTTTGAGGCCAGCTCGAGCTCCATTAACAAGTTCAAGGCCAGCCTACCCAGTGAGACCTTGTTTTAAATGAAACGAAACAAAACAAAACAAAACAAAACCAATAAAATAGATACCAGGAAAGTTCAGACCCAAACTTTAAGATTTCATTTTACCTCTATTAATTAACCAAATTTTAGAATGATGACATTCTTGCCTATGTCCACAAGGTGATAAGAACCAGAATGTTCACAGCAGCACTATTAGCCACTGTTCAATGTCTAGTAAGAGAAAGGATAATAAAATGTAGTATACATTCATACAGTAAAAAACTATATAGTAGCAAATGTGAAACAATTTCAGTTACATGGATTAATGTAGATCAATCTTAAAACATTTAATGTCGACCGCTGAAAAAAGCAGTCTTTTAGAAAAAAATGTGTCATATTATAGGCAGTCCCCCAAACAGGAAAACCCATAAACTACAGCTATAAAGAAAATCAAGGGATCTGCTTAAGAAGAGGGCAGCAAGAAGTCTTTAAATTGTTCTTAAACTGGGAATGTATGATTTGCTTTCCTTATTTTAAAATTGTTACAATTTAGGTATACATAATGATCACATTCATCATAGGGAATTTGTACCTGTACACACTGTATCTTGATACCTTTATCTTTTCAGAGGTCCTGATATAACTCATATATTATACATTTAATTCTTTAGAACAATATAATGCAAATCAGGCATGATAACACATGCCTGGAATCCCAGAGCTCTGCAAGGCTGAGGTAGGAGGATCACAAATATAAGTCTAGTCTAGGCAATTTATTAACTTAGTGAGATGCTGGCCCAAAATTAAAAAATCAAAAAATGTGTTGGGCACATAGCTTAGTGTGAATTCCCTTGGGTTCAATCCTCAGTACACATAAAGAAAAAAACTAAACAAAACCAAACAAACAAGATAGAGTTTGCTAGTATATTCACAAAGTTATACAATAATTATCAGGAACCTGCCCAAGAGTCCCAATTGTCAATCTCAAGAATGTGGCAAGAAAAATTAAAAAACAGAGACAAGTATCATAGTCCAACAATGGCTGGAAAGTTAAGGTTTCTGTATTTGACCTCTCCACTCCCAAAGCAACCATTATTTATTAGCTGTGTACAATGACAGATAAGACTAGCAAAGGATTCCAATCATCCAAGACTCCAACTCCCAGAGAGCACTGATAAGATTAATCTTATGTTTAGAAAGTGTCTGGACCCGGAGTATAATCCTGAGATGACCTAAGAATATGATGATGATGTTATGTTTAGAAGAGCCAATGGGAAATCTCAAATAGGTGGTATCAATAATCCCAATTCTTCCTTTTATCCCATCGGGAAATACGCAAAACCAGGCACTTTGAATTTGTGGTCCCCAACAAATAATCACCAGTAATTGAAGGTAATTTTCACTTACTTCAAAAGAAACATGTAAAGATCAGCAGTTACTCCAGTTAACAATTCCCTCCAACCACTGGCAACTATAAGCTACTTTCTATCTGCAGATTGCTTTTACGGACATTTTATGTAAATGGAACCATATAACAAACAGCCTTTCAGTGTGTGTGTGTGTTTTACTGGGAACTGAAGCACTGAGATACATCCCCAATCTTTATTCTTTTAAATTTTATTTTTCTTTATTTTTGAGACACAGTCTTGCTATGTAGATCGTTAGCCTTGAACTTACCATGTAGCAGAGTCTGTACTTGAACATGTCTAGAATCTGCAACAATCTTCCTGTCTCAGCCTTCCAAGTGCTAGGGTAAGAGGCATGTACCACTACACCTGGCCCTTATTTACTTTCTGAGCCAGGGGTTCTAATTTGTCCACGTGGAACCTGAATTTATGAACCTCCTGCCTCGGCCTCCCTAAATGCTGAGATTATAGGCATGTGCTACCATCCCTGACTTATATGTGGTCTTTTGTGCTGACTTTTTTCTTTTTGAGACAGGCTCTCACCATGTAGCCTAGGCTGGCCTCAAACTTGTGGAAAACGTCCTGCTTCAGCCTCCTGAATGCTGGGATTACAGGCGTGCACTACCATACCTCCATACCTGGCTCGTGTTGGCTTTTTTTTTTTTTTTTTCTTTCTGAGACAGGGTCTTGCTATGCAGTTCAGGCTGGCCTTGAGCTCTTGAGCTCACTTTGTAGCCCAGGCTGGTCTTGAACTCGCAACGATCCTTGTGCCTCAGCCTCTCGAGTGCTGGGATTACAGGCATGAGCCACCAAGCCAGCTTCGGGTTGGCTTCTTATTTATTTATTTTTATTTTATTTTATTTTATTTTATTTTTTTTTGGTCTTTTTTCGTTTTTATCGGTACCAGGGATCGAACTCACGACTGCCTGCTTGCAAGGCAGGTGCTTATGCCGCTGAGCTAAATCCCCAGCCCCCGGGTTGGCTTTTTAAAGTAGTACAATATCAAGGTTCATCCATGTTGCATCATGTACATTAGTTTTTATGCCTATTAATATCCAACTATATGAACATATTAGATTTTGTTTATTCATTAATTAGTAAAGACATGGTTTGTTTCCATTTGTAGCTATTATGAATGTTTCCATAAACACTCATATTTATGTTTTTATGTGGTATGTTTTTAATTCTCTTTAGTATATACATATAAGAATAGAAATGCTCAGAGAATTCCTCTGTTTTTAAGGGATCCTTAAAGAGGTGGGTTTTTTTGGTTTTGTTTTGTTTTTTGGAGACAGGGTCTCTCTATGCAGTTCATGCTAGGCTTGGGCTCACTTTGTAGCTAGTTCGTCTCCAACTTGCAACAATCCTCTTGCCTCAGCCTCCCAAGTGCTGGGATTACAGAAGTGCACCATCACACCTGGCAAGAGATTTTTTTTTCTTGAAAGAGGACCTCTCTATGTAATTTAAACTGGCCTTGAACTCACAATATAGCCCACGCTGGCCTCATACATGCAGTGATTCTTCTGCCTCAGCCTCCAGAATGCTAGGATTACAAGTATGCACCATCACACCCAACTGGAGAATTTGACATTTACACGAAAATTTAATAAATGTTTGGTTTACAATGAAATCCAGGATATAAATGAGCTTAGGAAATCTATGTTACGATTAATGTTACTGAAATACCTAAAAGATTTAGTACATCCTTGTGCCCCTTAGATTGAAGTCAATCAACTTATATTATTTACCTTGTCCTTTTTCAAGAAAAATGATTTTGGATTCTGGAAGAAAATTAGACCCAGTCACAATCATTTCATGGCCTCCATTTACAGGACAGCTGCTGATACTATACTTCTCAATATGAGGAAGTTCTTGAGCAGATCGCTGGGCTGTTTTTTTATGAATCGAGAAAAAAAAAAAGTTAGTTCAAAATATTTCACATATAAACTCAGGCTATAAAATAAAAGTAAAAGTTGACTTTGAGATTAATTCAGATTTTAAAAATTCAAACGAGTAGTAACAATTTTTACTAAAAGAACAAAGTACTCTAGAAAACAAGACAACTATATTAAATTGATATAATTTTAAAATTATTTGTCTTAGACTGTAACTGTAAAATAGTATTTTCAACTTGATATTGACTCCTACACATCGATTTTTCTTTTTTTTGGTACCAGAAATCGAACTCAGGACCTCGCAACTGCCACGCACTGCCTCTCTGAGGAATAGCCCCAGCCTTGTTTTCTTCTTTGTAGTTTAAATCTTTTTTTTCTCCTTGTGATGAGAAGTTGAACTCAGCACTTTGTGCATGCTAGGAAAGTACTCTACTACTAAACTACAACTCACCTCTAATTTAAATCTTTAAAATACTTTTCCATGCAACTACTTGTTAAAAATGTATAAATCTAACTATAAAGTCAAGTAAATTAAAAGTACATAATTATGTATGTACAACTAAGCTAAGACAAACTAGAAAAGATGGGTCAAACGTGTAATTCCAGCATTTGGGAGGCTGAGGCAGGACTGTTGCAAATCTGAGGTCAGCCTCAGATTTGTATTGAACGACAGAGTGAGATTTGCTTTCCAAAAATTAAATTTAAAAATAAAATTAAATTTAAAAATTAATTTAAAAAAGAGAGAAGAGTATAAATATCTAACAGGTGACTTGGCAAGTGACTCTTGGCTATCAAGAAAATACAACATCATTGCAACATCTGGATCCAATTTGGACAATTTTCTGAATAAATAATTTAAATCTAACATTGAATTCTTTGTTTTGTTTTAAAACATGGTATTGTTATGCAGTCCAGGTTGGCTTAGAACTTTTGGCAATCCTCCTGCAACAACCTTTCAATTGCTGGGATAACAGACATGTTTACTATGCCCAGTTTAACATGCTGAATTCAATACTGAATTTTAAAAAATGATTAAATATTTCTTAGTGACCATACATTCTGAACCTTTATAAGACACACAGAATATAATCTATTTGTCTTAGTGTACAGGGTCATTATTTACATGATCAATTTTTATAACATATTTTTGGTGCCCCCCTTATTCTGATATTAACAGAGTCGAAACTGTTATATTTTCTAGAGATTCTATTTAGGGTTTTTCCTTCTTTTTTCTTTTTGAATTTTTTGGGACAGGGTCTCACTATGCTGTTCAGGTTATTCTTGAATACTATGTGGCTTTTGTGGCGATCCTTTTGCCTCAACTTCCCCGGTGCTGCTATTCCAGACATGAATCACCATACTTGGTCTTCTTTTCTTTTTTTAGTTTGTTGGGATTTAAACTGTAGAAATCATTTATTTTGATCATTTAGGTTCTCTAATGGTTTCTTGTTGACAAATGTCTATAGATACATAGGTTTCTCTCCAAATTAAAGTTGATTTGTACTCTGTTCTGCATGTTTAGAAAATGGGTCTCGGGGCTGGGGATTTAGCTCAGCGGCATAAGCACCTGACTTGCAAGCAGGCAGTTGTGAGTTCAATCCCCGGTACCGATAAAAAAACAAAAAGACAAAAAAAAAAAAAAAAAAAAAAAAAGGGTCTCCTTTTAGTCTCAGTACAAGGGTGCAAAATGGTGGCTTTAAAGGTCAACTATATTTTGTTAAGCTAGCATAGTATAGGCACTTTAAAGAAATTTATTGTTGGGGCTGGGGATTTAGCTCAGCGGCATAAGCGCCTGCCTTGCAAACAGACAGTCGTGAGTTCGATCCCCGGTACCGATAAAAAAGAAAAAGACAAAAAAGAAAAAAAAAAAGAAATTTATTGTTTTCTGTTGTTTGTTTTGGTACTGGGAATTGAACTGAGGGCATTGAGCGTGCCAGGAAGGTGCTGTGCTGCTAGGGCTATGCCTCCAGCCCACTTTAGAGAAATTTAAACTTGAACACTTTTAGTCTTAAGGAAAGCAAGTACTCTCAGTTTGCTAAGGCAGCTGTCTTTTCTATGTAATAGCCACAAAAAGTATATGAACTGGGATCCTAAATCACTCAAAGAGAGAGAGCAGACACTGTCTCAGGTGATGGGTCTAGAATTTAGGATCAATTACTACTTGGTGTGTACCAAATACCAACCTAGATCTTACAAAATATTCAACTCTATTGTTCTAAATGGCTCACAGAGAAGAGGCAAAAAAATAAGCAATGACTGCTGTAGGGAGCAGACCAACTCAGGTTTTAGGCACCATATTTAAGGGAGAAACTGGCTTTTATAGATATGTTAAGAAATAGAAAAAATGTGTTCACAGTTGGTGTAGCCATACTAAAAAATCATGCATGTAATAAACGTAGTATTTTTGAATAATAATATGGAAAAGTGTCTGTCATAGTGTAAGTGAAAATAGTAAAATATAAAATTTATCAAATTACATTCAATTTTAAAAGCACTGTGTGTGTGTGTGTATATATATATATATATATATATACACACACACAAACACAAATATATATATATATATTTTTTTTCTTCCCCAAAGAAGGGCTAATTTAATGTTTTACAAAAGGGCCAAAACATAAAGCACTCAGGAAGCTGAGGCAAGAGGATTATTCCAAATCTGAGGCCAGACTGAACTACACAGTAAGACCCTGTCTTCAAAAAAAAAATTAAAAAATTAAAAAAGAAAAAAAGAAAAGAAAGCTGGGTGTAGTGGCTCACAATTGTAATTCCAGCATTTGGAAGGCTGAGGCAGGAGGATCATTGTGAGTTCAAGACCAGCCTAGGCTACAAAGTGAGCTCAAGGCCAGCCTGAACTGCATAGAGAGATCCTGCCTCAAAAAAAAGAGACAAAACAGGGGCTGGGGATTTAGCTCAGCAGCAAAAGTACCTGCCTTGCAAGCAGGCGGTCGTGAGTTCGATCCTGGTACCGATAAAAATGAAAAAGACAAAAAAAAAAAAAAAAAAGACAAAAAAGAAGAGGGATCAAAGAACTGAATACTAAAGCAGAAACAAACTGCTGGAAAATAAAATACTCTCAAGGCAGAGGCAAGGTTTGAACAGAACTCTGGTTGTACAGGAAATAGTACCAAGAATCAACAAATCAGATTATATCAAATTAAGAAGCATTTTTGTTTATTTTTTTGAAATAAGGTCAGGCTGGCCTATATAATTCAGGCTGGCCTTGAATCAGTATGCAGCACAGGCTGGCCTCAAAATCACAGCAAACAAGTGTTGAGATTATAGGCATGCGCCATGATGTGCAGCACTAAAATTAAAGCTTTTGCACAGCAAAGGAAACAACTAACAGAGTGAAGAAACAACCTACAGAAAGGAAACAAATTTCTATCACCTAGTACTCAGACACAGGACTAATATCTAGAATATAAAGAACCAGAAGAAAAAAACAGACTATCAAAGACCCAGTCAAAACAATGGGCAAGTGAAATAAACAGACATTTCACAGCCAACAAACACAAGAAGAAATGTTCAAAATTGTTAGCCATTAGTGAAATGCAAATTAAAATAACACTAAGATTCCATCTTATTCCAGACAGAAAAGGTATCATCAAGAAATCAAATAATAACAAGTACTAGAAAGGCATTAGGGGGAAAAGAAACCTACATTGATGGCAGTAATACAAATTACTTCAACCACTATGGAAATTAGTGTGGCGATTCCACTAAAAATTAAAACTAGAAATTCCATTTGACCCAGCTAATCCCCTTCTAGATATCTCTAAATAAAGGCATCGTATTATAGTGTCAGATACATAACTATGTTTATAGCAGCACAATTCATAATGCTCAATGTTTTGGTTTTTTGTTTGTTTTGATCTTTTTGAGACAGGGTCTCATTATGCAGTTTAGGCTAGCCTTGAGTTCATTTTGTAACCCAGGCTCATCTCAAACTCACCATGATCCTCTTGCCTCACCCTCCTGAGTGCTGGGATTACTGGTGTGCATCACCATACCCAGTTTAAATAATAGCTCACACTTGAAAGCAGCCTCTAAATCCATCAATAGATGAATTGATAAAGAAAATGTGGTATTTACACATAATGAGAATACGATTCTGCTATAAAGAAAAGATAAATGAGTCATTTGTAGGAAAATGGATGCACCTTGAGACTATGTTAATAAATCAGACATAAAAGCTTAAATAACATGGCTTCTCTTATGAGAAACAAAATATTATATAAAGAACAAAATAAAAGACAGATAATAGAAAGTGGGGAGATAAACCTTTCTCAAATGGGGGGCATAAAGATAAGGGGGAGGGAGGGAACAGGGATAAAAATGAAGAATTAAAATGTATTATGCACATGTACCAACTCCACCCTAGAAATGTAAACATTATGTACTGTAAACATGTACCAAGCAAAAAAGGATTAAAAGTGACTATATCTAAGGAATGATACAAAAGAAATTAACATAATTCTTTGTGTTTTGCTACATTTTCTATATTCCTAATAATAATTAGATTTTTTTTTGAGCTTCTATTTTTATAATTTTTTTTTTCCTTTTTTCTGGTATCAGGCATCGAACTCACAACCGCTTGCTTGCAAGGCAGGTACTTATGCCGCTGAGCTAAATCCCCAGCCAGATTTTTTTTTTTTGGGTCCTGGGGATCACACTCATGACCTTGTACTTGCCAAACAGGTGCTTGTGCCACTGAGCTAAATCCCCAGCCCTAATAATCAGATATTAATGTCATGAACATTAACAAAAAATTACAATCAACTTGGCACTGTGTTACACATCTCTAATCTCAGCCACTAGAGAGGATGAGATAGAAAGATTATAAATTTGAGGTCAATGAGACCTTTCTTTTTTTTGTCTTTTTAAATTTAATAACATGGTTGTCAATCCTATACACTTAAACATACATACAGTTACCCGTATCTTCATTTATGTTTAGATTAAACAAACTAAAGCAGGTTAAAATCATTCTGAACAAAGAACAGTATTGCTGGATTTCACATCGTGACACTCCATGATCAGCACTGGGTACTGTAGTGTCTTTTTTTTTGTAAATTTAATTTAAAGAAAGACTAAACAAAACAGAAAATGGATAGAAATAATACATACTTTCAAAGAAAAAAATAAACAGTAAGAAATCACTAGTTGAAGATTACAGATTGTCTCTTACAAATATTCAAGATACTAAAGTGGAGCTTATAAAGTGGGGATTCAAACAGTGAGATTGCAACCAGTTCTGTTCAACTATCCAACAAAAACTTAGAAATATGGTTATCAATCCTGTACACTTAAACATATATGGAATTATCTATATCTTCAATTATGTTGACATTGAATAAACCCAAGCAGGCTAATATCATTCTGAACAAAGAATAATACTATTGCTGGGTTTCACATTATGACACTCCAGGATCAGCACTGAATTTTTTTTTTTGTCTTTTTCCTTTTTATCGGTACCAGGGATCGAACTCACGACTGTCTGCTTGCAAGGCAGGCACTTAGGCCACTGAGCTAAACCCCCAGGCCCAGCACTGGATATTTTAATGTCTCTTTTTCTTTAAAGTATCTGTTCATTTTATCATGTGTCATATGATCAGTTCTCATGAACTGTTTACAGATTCTACACATGTATGAGTCTTAACATGTATTTTCATCCTTTCTATATTAGAGGGAGAAACAAAACAAAGCAAGGCAAAACAAAACATATTCCTATAAACACATGAAACAAAACAAACATATAAGACCGTTGTACAAAGAGTTCTACCATGGTTTCTGTGTTGTTTCTTGTTGTCTCCAATAGAATTGGCTGTATCATCAGAAATAGTGTAATTGAACGTATCAGTAGATAACAGTATTAATAAAAACACAACTTTGTATATAGTACAGAACTTCAAAAACCAGCAGTTATCAAACCAGAATGTGTATCGTAGAGTCTTGTCATCTTCAGTGTAGCTGCCTATACTCTCAGACTTGATACTAACAATAATATCAGTTTTGAATAAAGTCTTCTCTGTCTCATTTCTGTTATGCTCTTTTTTTGCCATCAGTTGTCTGCTTATCTTCTTCATTCTGTTTTCTGCTCTACTCACTGAGGCCTCTCTGCCACTGTTCCTGGAATCCTAGTACTTTTCTCTCCCTTTAGAACGCCTGGATATTCTCTGTTGAGTTGGATTGGTGGTTGCAAATTTCCCAAGTTCCACTTTGTCTTGGAAGCATCTTGTTTCTCCATTAATTTCTCGAGATAGTTTAGCAGGTTATATCAATCTGGGTTGGAGGTTATTTTCTTTCAGGGCTTGGAATATTTCACTCCAGGCTTTTCTTGATTTGATGGTTTGTGTCGAGAAGTCTGCTGTTATTCTAATGGGATGTAGGTTATCCATTTGTCTCTAACAGCTTTTAATATTCTGTTCTTATATTGAATTTCTGTGATCTTGATTATTATATGCCTGGGTGTAGCTCTGTTTTGGTTGTAGGTGGCTGGAGTTCTATATGCCTCATATATCAGAATATCATTTCCTTTTCCTATGTTTGGGAATTACCTTTGTGAATAACCTTTGTAGTTCCTTTGTTTTGTAGTACCTTTGTGAATAACCTTTGTACCCCAGCTTCTCACATTCTTTATTCTCAAGTTATGGATCCTTTTGTCATCTTCTAGCCTTGTGTATTGTTACTGCTTGTTTCCTTGTTGTTTTAAAAAAGTTTTCCCTTTCATACTCCTACATTGCAAAATTGTCCTCCAGTTTTAATAATCTATCCTTAGTTTCTTTCAAGCTGATTTGCCATCTTTCCATAGAGTTTTTAATTTCCTGGTGATCACTTTGAATCTCCTTCATGTATTCTATATTTTTTTTATATTCTTAACATTGAATGGTTCTCTCCTGTGTTTGAGTTCCTCCCTTCTTCCATCTGTGTCTGCTTGAGGGGTGCTTAGTATCTCTTTTATTAATCTTCTTATTTCTTGCTTTATTTGGCTAAATATTTCACTTTGAACTCATCTATGAGGTCCTGAATATATCTCTTTATGTCCACTGGCGCTGCGTCTGATATTGTATGTTTGCTGTTCTCATTCTCCTTTATATTTACCTGTCCTGGGTCAATGTTCTCAGGGTTGGGGCTTGGGGACTTTTTGTTGTTGCTTCCTCTTCCCATCTTTTTTGCTTCTTTCAGAAGGCCCCAGTTGCTTTCTTTGTTGGAAATTCTTCCAAAGTGCTCTGGCTAGATGACCCTTTACATTGCAATGTGCTAGTGCGTTGGAGACAGAGACAGCGTATGCCGGCCCCTCCCCTCCAGATCAGTCAAGCTGCTGTGGCCTGCACTACTGTATTACTTTGCACCACCTCCCCTCCGGGCCAGCCAAACCTCTGAGGCTTCACTCGAGACTTTTCTTGTCTTTTTTCTTTTTTTTTTCCCCTTGAGAAAGGGTTTCTCTATATAGTTCAAGGTGGCCTTCAACTCATTATGTAGCCCAACCTGGCCTCAAACTTACGGTGATCCTCCTGCCTCAATCTCTCTAGTCCTGGAATTACAGGTATATAGAACCGTGCCTAGACCTTCCTAGTTTCAAGATAAAAAATAAAAGGCTCAGTAGCACAACTGGCAAGTACAAGGTCCTGAATTGATTCATGATACCAAAAAAACAAAAAACTTGAGAGAAGATAAAAAATAAAAGAGGTCAGGTAACCCATTGGGACCCCTTTTTCTGTCTTTGTCTCAAACAGAAGCTTGCTTTCTATCAATAAATATATTCTGCTCTGCTCTTAACCTGTTTTTTTTTTTTTTTTTTTTTTTTTTTAGTCTAGGAATCTAACTCATTGGTAGAGGGTTTGCTTCAAAAATGCAAACCCCTACTACTAAAGAAAATCATTTTAGAGCAATATCATCTAAAAAACTCAAACTACTCTAAACTTAATTAACTTTGTTAAAAAAAACAGAGACATGTCTATACATACACAGAACACTGGCAGGATAATTAAGAAGCTGGTAATAATGTGCTTCTAAGAACAACTGGCTGACTTGGAAATTTACTTTTTACTCAGTATTCTTCTTTGGGGGTGGGCAAGGCGGATATCCCCAGGGCTAGGCAAGTATCCTATCACTGAACAACATCCTCAACCCTTTTAAATTTCATGTTGGCTCATTTCCATATGACAAAAGCAAACCAACAATCCAGAATGTAAGTCTCAGTTTATACTTTTGTTCAGGGGTCAGGGGAGTATTGGGAATTGAACCTAGGACCTCATGTCTCCTAGGCAAGCAATCTACTACTAAGGTACAGCCTCAGCATTCTACTAATACTTACCCACCCCCAGTACTGATCCCAGCCTTTCTTTTCTAATTTAAATTTTTGAGACTGGGTCTTGTTAAATTGTCCCTCTTGAGCACAAAGTTGCAATCCTTCTACCTCAGCCTCCCCTGGTGCTGAGTTTACAAGCATGTACCACCACACTAGGCTTCAGTCTATACTTCTAATGCACACATTACATCACAAACAGAAAAAAAAACTACTTTAAATAAATTCTTCAAGCATTTCATACATTTACTTACAGCACTCAACAGGTATAGAAGCTATCTGCAGAGAAAGAACTTTTCCACTGGGCTGTGGGATGTGTACACGAAATACAAGTCGTACTCTAGTATTTTTTCTGCCAATATCAGTTTCTCCTTTTCGAAGTTCTATATCTGAATTGCGGAGTTTCAAAATACCTGCACAGTCAATACTAATGAGAAAAACACAAAAATTGTATTTATCAACTGATAATCAGTGGTTCTAAACAATTCAATTACAAAGATACACACTGCCAACTTTGTTAGGGAAGAACTTCCTTCCTAAAATCAGGTCAAAAAGGTATGTACATTAAAAAAAAGATGTCTACAGTTGTCTTAAATCACAAAATACAGCCAGGCATGGTGGTACATGCTTGTTACAAATCCCAGCACTTGGAGGGTTGAGGCAGGAGGATCACTGCAGATTCAAGACCAGACCTGGCTACAAAGTGAGTTCAAGGCCAGCCTAAATTGCATAGTGAGACTGTTTCCAAAAAAACCAAAAACACAAAATGAAAATAAAACAAAAAGGCAAAATTCCCTAATGAGATATTCATATGCAGTAATGAAAATAGAAATTCTCCTTAAAACTACAACTATGTGGGGTGTGGTGGTATATGCTTACAATCTCAGCATTTGGGAGGTCAAGACAGAAAAATTGCTGTGAGTTCAAGGCCAGCCTGAACTGGAATGAGAACTATCTCAAAAAGCCTTAAAGCAAAACAAAATAAAACAGGCCAATCATTTTTTGTTATTTAGGTCAGAATATAACATTGCCACATCAAAGGTTTTTTTTGTTATATTGCAGTACCAGGAATTTAAGGAAGGGAATTGTTAGTATGTCTCTAGCTCTTTTTAAGTTGCCTAGATACCCCTGAATTTATAGTTTTTCTGCAATAGCCTCCTGAATAGCTGGCAAATATATACTGCCACACTATGAAGCTCAGCCTGTCCTCAAGTTCACAGCAAACCTCCAGTCTCTGTCTCCCCATTGCTGGGATTACAGGTGTGCACCACCATGCCCATTTGACAATGGTATTTCTGGAGTTTTGTCTTTTGTGATCTGATCCAAGCAAAGCAGTAAATGTTAAGTATAGGCGAAGACATGACATAAATCATGACTGTTAGGTCTATTCTATATGCTGGCACATGGTAGATGGAAGAGGCACCTATGTTCAGATTTCATTGTTTTACTTTTTTTACACTATTTTGGATTTGAACCACACAGTATATTAGCCATTGCTATTTCCCTAATTATTTTGTTACAAAATTTTTATTTTTTCTTTTTTTTCCTACGTCTTCAAGGAAGCAGAATGCTTTTATTTTCTTTATTAATATGTACTTGGCTGGGTGTAGAGGCACATGCCTGTAATCCCAGCACTCAGGAGGCTGAGGCAGGAGAATCTTGCAAGTTCAAAAAGACAAAAAAAAAAAAAAAAAAAAAGTACTCATATTATAGTAAAATAAAGTTTTTCAGACACTCCCCATATTTCCCCCAAATAACATCTAGCTGAAAATAACATCTACCTGCTTTACAGAGTAGCCACTAAACAAAGAGAATAGTGACGGCAGGTAAGGCAAGGACAGGCTGACTGAGGCTGGCATTTTGATCTCTAGTTTTCCAGGCTGATTATTTTCCAGCCAAGTCTCATTTCTAGGGAAAGAGAGTCTTTTTGTTTTCAATGATTGGCTTATATATTACTTATAGTAGAGAGAATATTAGGCATTTTACAAATATAAATACAAGTAAGGCCAAGAAAACAGAAACAAAAAAAAATTAAAGTAGAGGGAAAAATATACCCTAAACCTAGGTTCTACATTATTTTCAGCTAGGGTTTTGCTATGTAGTTCAGATGGGCCTTGAGCTCACTACATAGCCCAGGCTGTCTTAGAACTTGCAGTGATCCTCTTGCCTCAACCTCCCAAGTGCTGGGATTGTAGGTGTGCACCACTATGTATACATAACTACAAATTACTATTAATTACTATAATTGAGCTTGACCATGAACTTCCTAAAAACCAACACAAAAAGTAAATGAAAATAGTTTTTATATGTTTTTTATTGTCTGACAGAGCAAAACTTCCAGGTCATTAGGAAACACCAACTTTTTTCACTCAAGTTTAAAAGAGTCTTTGTATATACGTAGTAACAACCAATCTAAAAATATCAAGAATTTTAGTAGTGGTTTTCACACTTAGGAGGATGAAGATCATTTGAGACTGAGTATTCATATGGCTATTTCTTATATGAAGAAGCATAATAAGCTTCTGGCAATTTTCTAACTTGGTTTGGCTTTGACTATCCTAAGGAATGTGTGGACACCCACCCCTACGCTATCAATTTTTTGAGTTTTTAGAAAAAGGTTTAAAGCTGAGTTTTAAATTTTCCTCTACAGTTCACTAACCATATGTCCAAATGCTTCTGATGCTTCATAGAAAAAGATCCTAAAGCAAAAAGCAAGAAGACTATTTGCAGTCTCATTCAAAGGCTAGCCATATCACATTTTTTGGGCAATGGATGATGCCTGAGAGCGAAGTCAAAAGTCTTCCTTGGGGCTGGGGGTTTAGCTCAGCGGCATAAGCACCTGCCTTGCAAGCAGGCGGTCGTGAGTTCGATCCCCGGTACCCATAAAAAAATGAAAAAGACAAAAAAAAAAAAAAAAAAAAAAAAAAAGTCTTCCTTAAGGATACTTAATAATTAAAATTGTATTGCAATCATTTACTGTATGCTCTATTAATAAATTGTAATTAACAGTGAAAAATCCACATTTTTTTTTTATCACCCATAATAATGTCTGGCTAGTAGTATAGCGCCCACAATGGTTTGCTGAGTGAATTTTCTTTTTTGAAATATGCTACCTCCCCTGGCAGTGTGCTACAATTATTTACATAGTATCATTCAGTTAAGCCAGGCATGGTAGCACACACCTGGTGATCCTAGCACTCGAAAGACTGAGGCAGGCATATCATTGTGAGTTCGAGACCAGTCTGGGCTACAAAGTGAGCCTAAGGCCAGCCTGAACTGCACCCTGTCTCAAAAAAAAAAAAAAAAAAAAAAAAAAAAAAAAAAAAATTCAGTCAATTTAGAATTATGATTGATTGATTGGGTTTTTTTTTTTTTGTTTTTTTTTTTTGAGACAGGGTCTTGCTATATAGTTCAAGGCTGACCTTGAACTTGTGGCAATCCTGCCTCATGGGATTACAGGTGTGTACCACCACACTATGTTATTTTATTTTTATACTAAAAAATATATTTTTTGAAATTCAGGAAAAGAAACAAATGCACACTTTGAGGTATGTTTCAAGATACCTGGCTGACATATTATTTTCAGGAAGAAGTGGAATTTCTAGAACTTTTGTGCTGGCAATTATTATTTCTTGGCTTGCAGTAGCAACTGTCTTTCCAGTGATTCGATGCACCTGGTAAAATGCATGAGGTCGTAAATATCGATCATCTGCTGTTCCAATAAACATCTGTAGATTTATCGGCTTTTCACTATAGCCCAGGAGCTAATTAGGAAGAAAAAAAAAAAAAAAAAAAAAAAACAAGAAAAAAAAAAACACCCAATTCATTATCCATGAATTTCAGAAACTTATAGACTATTTTATCTGTATCATATATTATTGATATACAAAATGTTACTTCAAAAGTGACAACATCGCTAAGTATGACAACATACGCCTTTAATTCTAGCATTTTGGAGGTTGAGGCATGATGATGGGTCTGAATTTGAGGCCAGCCTGGACTATACAGTTAAGTTCAAGGCCAGCCTGAATTATACGGTGAGATCCTGTCTCAAAAAAAAAAACAAACAAACAAGAAAATGACAACAAAGATCAGCAAATAGTCCTCTAAACTTAAGTACCTGAAGAGTTAAAAAACAATGGAATATATTATGAACAAACTTGGGTGAGGGTGTTGGATAAGTATTTAAATCAACAATTTTGCAAGGCCGTCTGACTTGCTGTGAACAATGCAAATAAATGCTGATTCTGTACCTTGAGCAACATTAATCATTTAGACCAAACCTACAGAGTAAGTAGTGTACACTAAGGGTTCAATTTCATCCTTTTGCATGTAGATATGCAGTTTCTCAAGACTGGTTTGTGGAGAAAACTGTCCTTCTTCTGTTAAGTGGGGAAAAACCATCTGACCATTTACAGTACATGTGAGGGATTATTTCTAGGCTATTTCATGCCACTGGTCTCTTTATGCCTATACTACACTGTTTTTGTTGTTGGGAGATGTACTCTCCCTGTCCAAATGCTCTTTGAGATGACTGCATGGCATGGTATTTTTCCTTTCTTCTCTTACTAGTATATTGTATCAACGAATTTGCCAAACTACCCTTACATCCCTGGGATAAATATCACACTGTAATATAAAAGCACAATTTTTATAATGTGATGTTGTTACATTTAGTTTTCTAGTATTGTGTTGAAGATTTTTACATGTTTGTTTATAAAGGATTATGGTTTGTGGTTTTCTTTCTTGTATCTCTGTCCTCATTATCCTTTGGACTTTTTTTTTTTTTAACTCAGGATCCTAAGAAAATTTCCATTCCATATGTACTATTCAATTTCTAGGAGATAATTCAGCATTCTTATCTTACTGAACCAATCTGACATCATCAGCATCTAATAGATCTGCTAACATTGTTCTCTCATATGTGTGTTTTCATTTATTTATTGTATTCTAGGTATCTTACATTTAAAGCAAAACACTGAAGACTGAAGCAGAAAACATTTACTTCTAGAATGGCATATGCTGCTGAGTGTAGTGGCACAAGCCTATAATCCCAGCACTTGGGAGGCTGAGGTAGGAAGATTGCCAGGAGTTTGAGGCCAACTTGGGCTATACAGTGAGTTGAAAAACCTCCTCAACTATACAGCAAGACCCTGTCTTAAAAAAAAAAAAAAAAAAAGGCACATGCTATTTCTCTTGTCAAGTCATAGTTCTTACGAGATGTTTGAACTTTTCTGAAGTTCCAGTCTGACTCAGTAGTGCATTGGTTTCAAAGGCCTTGAGGGTACAATATGTCTTTCTCCATAGCAGGGTATGGAATTCGGTGAGCATCGGTCAGAAACCAGAAAGTTGCCTATGCTTCACAGCTGGTCTTCATCCTTAAAACTGTCAGAAAGCCTCTCTCTGATCTACCACCTGGCCTTTTGATTTTGGGGTCTATAAGGAGTTCTCTTTGGTCTTCCATAAGTTCTTTGATTTCTGTGCCTCAGATATCTCTTTCATCACTCTTATCCAACCTTGGGTCTTCCAACAATGCTCTGGAAAAGATTTCTCTTAACTCTTCTGATACTAGCCTTCTATAAGTGATAACCTAGAGTGCCTCAGGCTGTTTCTAGCTTTTAAATGATAAAATTATGAAGTGAGGGGTCTCACCATGCTTTCTCTTACTTGGAATGTAATTTCTTTGTATTTGGTAGAATTTAACAAGCTTCAGGGTGAGCTCTCTCAGAGATCCTCAATACTACTTTGGCTCCAAATTCCTCTGTGAGAAAGACTTACTCTGCTGTTTTTGTTTGTTTTGATACAGAGTCTCACTATGTAGTACAGGCTGGTACTGAACTCACTATGTAGCCCAGGCTTGTCTTGAATTTGACAGTGATCCTTCTGCCTCAGCCTCCTAAATGCTAGAACTACACGTATGTATGAGCACACACAGCTGATTTTGATTTTTTGAGACAGGGTGTGCATTTTTGCTGTGCATTTCAGGCTGATCTTAAATTCACTATGTGGCTGGGCAGGGTGGTAATCTCAGCACTTGGAAGGCTGAGGTGGGAGGATCACTGTGGGTTCCAGACGAGCCTGGGCTACAAAGTGAGCTCAAGGCTATCCTGAACTGCATAGTGAGATCCTGTCTCAAAAAGAAAAACAAGACAAAACAACACAAATAAATTCACTAAGTGGCCTGGGCTGGCTTTAAACTCATAGCAATCCTCCAGCCTCAACTTCCCTAATGCTGGGATTATAGGCATGTGCCACCATGCCTGGCTGTTTTTGTTTGCTTGTTTTTCATGAATAAACTCGGAATTATTTATTGAATGTCTACATATCCAGCTCTAAAAAGAATTACCCAAAACTCACGCTCTGAAGTTAACCATTTATAATAGAGTAGGTCACACACTGATTCTGAATCACTACAGGCCTTCAAGTCACCTTTCAAACTGTGCACAGATATTGATTCCCTCTATAAACACAAATAAAATCTTTTGTTACAGATATCATTTTGCTATCCCCTTTATGGTTCTGTGCAATCTGTTGGCATTCTGTGACATTTTGTGAGTTTTCTGTTACTTTTCACTGTTGTTTTTGTCACTCATTCCTTTTTGTCAAAGCCTGGCTATCTAAGCTTTCCTATCTTCCCTTTCCTGATTTGTCATGCACTTGGGTGACTCATGTTAGCACTTCCTCAATAATCAGGTCTTCAATAAATATTATTCATCAGCATTTCTGATCGATATTTTTGTAAGCTTTGTGGTGAATTTCAGATCTTCACTGTAACAATATTCTTTCAGAATGCTAGTCAGAAAATCTTCAAAAAGTCACTTCTTAGGGTTTTGTCATAAAAATGTTGCATTAAGAAACTGATAAAGAGATGCATAGCTCTAAAAAAATGCGTATCTCAGTAAAGGAAGCTTCTACTGTACTGACTAACTCCCACCATGACAAATTCTACATGAACACTGTTAAAAAGCATTTGGTTTTTTTTTGGCACTGGGGATCAAACTCACGACCACACACTTGCAGGCAGGCGCTTAGGCCACTGAGCTAAATCCCTAGCCCTGTTAAAGCAATTTGATACGTGACATTAGTTTGTGCACATAATGGTTAGATCAAGAAATTAAATTTCTGGTTCTTTGATACTGAATTAAAATTTGTATGTCATACTGTTTGAAAACTTCAATTATAAATGATAAAGAGGGGCCAAGGATATAGCTCAGTGGCACAAGAGCCTGCATGGCAAGCACAAGGTCCTGAATTCAATTCCTGGTACTGAAAAAAAAAATGATAAAGAGAATTAAGTATTAATTGATAAGTCTAGCACATGTATTATAAAATGTATATTTAAGAATCAAACTATATGAGTCTCTAAAATGCTATTAAGCAAACTATCATCTATGATCCACAATCAATCTTTCTTTCTTTTTTTTTTTTTTTTGCTTTTTAGACAGTTTTTCACTATGTAGTTCAGACTGGCCTTGAATTCACTTTGTAGCCCACAATGGCTTCAGACTCACAGTGATCCTCCTGTCTCAGTCTCGCAAGTACTGGAAATTACAGGCATACATACACCTGGCAATCCTTTTGTTTTTTAACTCAATTATGTAACACATAGGAAATTTTAATTTCTCAAATGTACTCAGAAAAAAGTATCAGAATTATCTCCCAGGTAAAAAATAGTTGCATAATCTATTTGCCACAAGTGAACTCCTTACTTGTGAAGTAGCAGTCAACCACCATATATGACTTTCTGTGGTGGTAGTACTGTCCATTCATTACCACTTTCTCTTTGCATGAAAAATATGAACAAGAAGAGGAGACATGAATCACTTTTCACTGTTTCATTGAATTTGGTGTTTTCATTGTATATTAAATGCCTTCTTGTACTTTATAACCAAAATTAACTGTATGTTCTAGTAACAAATATTAGCAACTTCCAACATGATCTCTAGTGATAATTTGCAATTCTCAACCATGCATTTCCGGCAGTCTGTGCAAGATTTATTCCTATGTCACTTCTGCTGCAAACTGTAAGACTGCTGTGAAAAAGTGTAATTTCAGGAACACTGAGTACTTTATAAAGCAGCTGCAGGTCCAAAATCAGCATGATCTTAAAGGAAACCTTCAACATGGTGGATGCAGTCTGGGTAGACATGCCACCCCAACTTGACTGACTTGCCCACTTCATGGGCAAATGAGAAAGCACAGGTTTTGCTTTCAGATTTTTTGAGACAGGTTCTCACTGTGTAGTGCAAGCTGCCTTGAACTCACTATGTAGCCCAGGATGGCATCCATGGCAATACTGCCTGACTCCAGCAGTACCACCAGGCCTGGGTTTACTATTATTTTCACTCCTGTAACATTAATTAAGAAGCGAGTAAAGTCTGCAATAGCCTTAAAACTAGTTCCCATTTTCATGTTTGTTCTCATGCACATCATTCTCTGTCCACAAGCAGGAGCAAACCGGGGCAATTTTATACTCACCCTAACCCTTTTACCCCCTGCTCAGGAGTCTCCACATTCAGAACTAATTTAAATTCTCCATGGTGGTTTACAAGGCCTACATGATTTGGGGCCCTGGCTAATTTGCTGACCTTATCTCTCTCTTCCACAGTCTACCTTAGCCACTGATGGCTTTACTGCATAAACCATCTGAGCTCATTTCTAACCTCAGAGTCTTCAAACTTAGAATTTTCTCCTTCTGGAATGTTCTTCTTTCTGATCTTCATAATATCTTACATATTCACTTCATTGTGCTCCATATTCAAAGAGCAATGCCCTCAAAAAAGACTACCAAAAATTCACATCTTTATTCTCTTATCTCGGCACATTATGTTTCATATAATTGACCACTATCACACTGTAATTATTTATTTTCTATACTCTTCAGTATACGTTCCCAATAAGGCAAAAAACAAAAAAAACCCCAAAAAACCAGTTTTGCTCATTACTCAATTCCTTTTCCATTATTACACAAATTGTCTTATTGAAATGTTACTGCAGAAGTCAGTATTATATAAGAATGTATCTAGGAGACACATTAAAATAACAAAGTGGGAGGGTGCTGAGCAAGAAAGCAACATGCCCTCCTTCCTTGTAAGCAGCTGTGACATGAGCCAAGAGAACCAGTCAGCATCTCTCTGAGATCCAGCCATGTTAGAACTTATGGAGCTGAGCAAGAACACCAAGTTCAGCTTCCTATTAAGTGGCTGAGGCTGGAGTGAGCTGTGGGCGAGCCAGGACAAGAACCAGTTAGCATCTCTCATGAGCCTACTGGCTCACAGGCTGAGAATCACACATTCCCCTCCCCTTAGCAACTGGGGGGCCAGAGATTTGAGCATCTTTTGGGAGGTTGACTGTATGCAATACAGCAAATATGGGGGATTTCCTTCCATATTCTCTTTGAAGGCAAATACTGTTTTGCTTTGTTCTAATTGTTTTGCTCTATTCAGTTTTCTGTTTTGGTAGGTTTTATAACGTTCTGTTTTTGGTTTGATTTTGCTGTACCTGATTGAATGGGCAACTATTGTGAAGATAATGAGATATACTGTGGTACCTATTACTGTTATCCCGGTATCCTGCTATGAAGTTCTGTACCATTTCACTGCATTGTCTCAGTTGGCTTTGTTCTGTCTTGTTCTGCTGTATTTTACTACCTTCAAAATAAAAAATAACCAAGTGGGCCAGAGATGATGGTTATGTCTGCAATCCCAAAATCCCATCATTCTAAGAGGCTAAAATTATAGGCACGTACCATCAATCCTGGAATATGTCAAATTTTAAGGGATTAAAGAAGTCTTGAAAGGCAAAAATCTATTCTTTTTTTTTTTTTTTTTTTAAATCGGTACCAGGGATCGAACTCACGACTGCCTGCTTGCAAGGCAGGCGCTTATGCCGCTGAGCTAAATCCCCAGCCCCCCAAAAATCTATTCTTAATAATACAGAATACAGGCAAGTAAATGATAAAAATTAAAGCTTTATAAAGTAGAAAAATGACGAAGTCACAAATTCACCAAGAGACAGGAAACACAAAAATCATAGTACTAAAAGGTTAAAATAGGGTGGCAGTAGAACTAATAATTGAGGAACATAAGGCTGAGGCAGGATTTCTATGAGTTTGAGGCCAGCCTGAACTTCAGAGAAGACTCTGTCTCAAAAAATCTAAAAAATAAAGAAAGAAAAAGAGAAGGGAAGAAAAGAAAGGAACAAAAGGAGATGAATACAATAAAACTGGTCTGAGATTCTAAAGATATTTCTATAAGTGACTACATAAAAAATAATAGCAAAAACAAGACAAAAGTTCTGAGCTTCAGTATCCAGGAGAATGATGGCATCACAAGCAAACAAAGTGAAGTTACTGATGTAGAACAGGTTTAGGGAGAGATACAGCAATACTGTCAGTGTATTCATGTTGCAGTCCCACCCTGCTAATCCCAGCACTCAGGAGGTGGAGACAGGAAGATCCTTGTGAGTTCTAAAACAACCTTGGCTACAAAGCTCAAAGCCAGTCTGAATTGCATGGTGAGACCTTATCTCAAAAAGACAAAACAAATCCCAAACAAACAACAATGTACTGTAGTCAAGGTAATAGATATTTTAGACTAGTCACACTTTTACTACACAATAAACACAATGTTTTGCTGTCTAACTTGATAACAGGATAGTACATAGTACACTGTGCCTTGAAAAAAAATGGTATCTACTCTTCTTCCTATTTGAAATGAGTTTGCACTGATTATTATTATTATTTTTTAACCTTTTTATCGGTACCAGGGATCGAACTCACGACTGCTTGCTTGCAAGGCAGGTGCTTATGCCACTGAGCTAAATCCCCAGCCCCGGCACTGATTATTTTTTAAAAGTCCTAGTACAGCAATGCTAGTGGAACTTGAAACATTATTGAGTTTTAATGATATCACTGTTTGTGACCTGCTCTGTCCTGAGCAACGGGAAGGTCACATATGTTCTCTGTCTTAATGCTGTTACAGTAACACAGAAGTCAATACATAAATGAAATAAGTATGGCTGTGTCCCTAAAAAAATCTTATGAATATTTGATTTCCCCAGTCATGTAAAATGTAAAAATGATTACTAGCAACAAGTTATATAAAACACATGGAGGTTCAGTTTTGGCCTAGAAAGCCACAGTTTGATAGCTCTAGTCTGGAACGTTATTGTTTTTTCTTTTTCTTTTGTTTTTCTGGTTTTTGAGACAGGGTTTCTCTATGTAGTTCAGGCTTCCCTTAAACTTACTGTGTATCCTAGGCTGGCCTTGAATTCACAGAGATCCTCCTACCTCACCCTCCCAAGTACTAGGATTACAAACGCGGGCTAACATACCCGGTTAGACCATTATTTCTTAACTGGGCAGTATAACATTCTGCACAGAAGACTGTGGGGAGTATTCTGCATTTTTGTTACCAATATGATGAGTAAAGTACGTTATAAACACTTAATGAACAAAGGCCAAAGTATCAAATTCCTCTTCAGTTCTTTAAAGAACAAACAATGTTCTTTAAAGTGAAGGACTAAGCCAATGTTACATAGAATTCCAGAACATCCTATCAGATATTCATATATAAAGCTAACTTTATGAATTTAGAAAAAAGTCCTTCGTACATATAAATGCAAAATTTTTGGTTCTATGGAACACAAATGAATTTTTCATGAATACCACTACCTTATAAAGAGCTCACCATTTCAGAAAATCATGTCACTGCCAAAAATGGCATTCACAGAATGTAGGTTGCTGATCAATATCTGCCTTTGTATAGGCTAACCTCGAATTCTATTCAGGTGTAATTGATGATTTCACTGTGCCCCTCACAGTCACTAGGAAGACTTTTCATTGTGAAACATACTTCTCAATTATATTACCTTTGAATTTTTATTTCAGGTTAATAAAGCGATATTACAAAATATTTGCTTTTTTTTTTTTTTAAAACTTTTTTCTTCTTTGTTTTGAGACAAAATTTTGGTATGTAATTCAGGCTGGCCTTGAACTCACAGTGATCCTCTTGCCTCAGTCTTCCAAGCACTGTGACTGCAGGCATGAGCCACCGCACCTGACGATAATTCTGTAATGGTAGGATTCATGTGATGGAAACAATTCGACATGAAGAATTAAGAGTTCAGAATGACTAGTAACTTCCCCAAATACAAGGCTAGTAAGTGATTAGTCATTCTTTTCTACAATAACTTTGCTCTTACATGTTCAAATTACTATTACTATTTTGATTTTTGGAGACAAGGTTTGATTATGCAGTTCAGCCTGGCCTTGATCTCACTATGTACCCCATGCTGGTTTTGAATTTGCAGCAATCCTCTTGCCTCAGTCTCTTGAGTGCTGAGATTACAGGTGTGTGCCAACACTCCCAGCTGATGTTCAAATTACTGTATGAAGTCAACTGTTCATCTAATGGTAGAAGAAACAGCAAAAACTTTACCACTTGCTTCTAAACACTGTGAAGAGGACAGTATTCTTATCCCCAGAGCCTACTACCAGGTCTAGCACATTATAGACATCCATCTCTTGTTGAATGAATTTTTTGGAATCAAAGAGTACAATTAAGTGGGACAAAATAACTCAATCATTATTTAAATACTTATAAACACTAAAGTAGCTGACCAAAGACGCAGTTAAATATACAACAGAAAATACTAATTAAGCCGGGGATTTACCTCAGTGGCATAAGCGCCTGTCTTACAAGCGCCGGTTGAGTTTGATCCCTGGTACCAAAAAAAAGAGAGAGAGAGAGAGAGAGAGAGAAGAAGAAGAAGAAGAAGAAGAAGAAGAAGAAGAAGAAGAAGAAGAAGAAGAAGAAGAAGAAGAAGAAGAAGAAGAAGAAGAAGAAGAAGAAGAAGAAGAAGAAGAAGAAGAAGAAGAAGAAGAAGAAAGAAAGAAAATGCTACTTAAAAACGTTACTGCTGCCTCTCTTATCCAAATATTACATAACACACTGGTAAGTACTATATACTAAAGCATCCTAGTCATATTAAATGCCTTATATTTATATCACCTTGGCAAAAAAATAAGCTACCTGTCCATATACATATAGATAAACTACTGTTGAAGGAAAGTAACCATACATATAAGATTTCAGTGGGAATATATATTTCATAACATTTTAACAAACATCCACCACTCCAAGTAGAGCATAAGAAAAATAGGGTTACTCTTCAGTATCTCAATTAAAGACAGATCAAATCAATTAGACTATTATCCCATTCCATTTCTAGAAAAGCATTTATGTTATCTAGGTAATAAACAAATTAATCCTAGTATTAAAACTATTCTCTAGAAACTTCCACCTAGTACTAGTATACTTCTTTTCAGAGTACCCTTTGTTTGTAGAAGTAAGCAAGTCTACTTACTATGTTTCTGTATTATTTTCATAGCACAAGTTAATTTAAAGCTGGAGGGTTAAAGCTTGAAGGTCATTATAAGGGACAATATGGCAACTTCAATAAACAGCAATACTATCATCAGTTCTTGCCAGGGATATAGCTCAGCAGCATAAGCACCTGCCTGTTAAGTGTAAGAACCTGAGTTCAATTCCTAGTATCTCCCCCAAAAAATCATTTAATCAGTTCTGCTAAATTAATTGGGGAGGGAATGTAGGGATCTGAATATACTAGAAAGATGACAAAACACTGTAGAGATACAAAAAATACAAAATTAAACTTACATAAATTGTTTGAAAGTGCACCTATAATATCATATAAAAATATGAGGCTGGGTGTGGTGGTGCACGCCTGTAATCCCAGACTTGTGAGGCTGAGGCAGGAGGATCACTGTGAGTTTGAGGCCAGCCTGGGCTACAAAATAAATTCAAAGCTGGTCTGAATTGCATAGTGAAACACTGTTTCAAAATAAAACAAAACCCCCCACAAAAATCAGAAGAATGCACTCTGGGAGGCTGAGACAGGAGTATCAACAGTTTGAGCCCAGCATGGACAACCAAGCAAGACCCTGTCTCAAAACAAAAAAAAGGGGCTGGGGACGTAGTTCAGTGTAGATAGAGATCCTGGGTTTAATCCCCAATACTATAAAACAACAACTAAAATGAAAACCTAGGAAATGGATCTTGGCATATAAAATACAAAGTCTAAAAATAAAACAAAAAATCACAAACCTCATTTTTCAAACTTCAGTTATTTTCAGGGTAAGACTCAAAATATTTATGTCTTGGGTGGAGATGAAACTCAGGAGCAGAGCACTTGCCTAGCATACATGTTCCTGGATTTGATCCCCCTTCCCCCTACCCCCCAAAAAACCCTCAATAAATCTTCCCTTTGTTTATTTTTTCTTACCTTTGTTTAATACAAGGTTTGTGTAATTTTTTTTGTACTAGGAATCGAACTTACAATCTTGAGCCCAACAGGTAGGTACTGTGCTGCTGAGATATAAGCCCCAGCTGTAATTCTTAAATATTTATACTTAAAGGAAGTTCCAAAAATAGTGTATGTACTATTGTCTCATGTATCTTGCGCCTAGCTTCCCCAAAGTATAATACAATATGTACCTAGAGTACTGAGCTGTAGTAAAAATATCAACACTAGGAAATTGACAAGATAGTATTAACAATACAATAGATCTTAGTGTTTACAATTTATATATATATTCATTTGTGTCTTCGGTTTTATTAAACTTCATTTCATATAAAAATTTAGGTCACTACCACAATCAAGATATAGCACTAGCCAGGTATAGTGATACACATCTGTAATCCCAGCATTCAAGAGGCTGAGTTTGACACCAGCATGCACTATATAGTAAGTCTGAGAAGTCTGGGTTACACAGTGTAAGTTCAAGGCTAGTCTGAACTACACAGTGAGACCTTGTCTCAAAAAACAAAAGATATAAAAACCATTCCATCACCACAAATAAACTGGCCTGTGCTATTCCTTTACACCCCTCAACCTGTCTCTGATACCTGGCTATTCTCTATTTCTGTGGTTTTTGTCATATTAAATTATATAAATAGAATCAGACAGTATATAATCGTTGCACATATAGTTTGTTCCTTTAATTTTTGTATGCTAGTGTAGTGTATGGATGTACCAATTGTTGATTCATTCATTTGGGTTGTTTTTTTTCTATTTTTTTGAGACAGGGTCTCGCTTGTAGTGCAGGATGGCCTTGAACTCACTTATGTAGCCCAGGCTGGCCTTGAACTCACTGTGATCCCTCTGCCTTAGCCTCCTAAGTGCTGGAATTACATGCACGCACTATGATGCCTGTCAGGCTGTTTCTAATTTTGACCTTTAAAAATAAAATTGCAGCCAGGTGTGGTGATGCATGCCTATAATCCAGCTACTCAGAAGGCTGAGGAAACAGGATGCTAAGCATGAGACCTACTTGAGCAACTTTAACAAAACTTTGTGTCAAAATTTAAACATTTTAAAACAGGGAAATAGGAATACTACTCAGTGGTGGAGTCCTTGCTTAGCACTGCAAAGTTCTGGCAATCTCCAGTACCAAAAATAAATTTCTTATGAATGATGTTATATAGGTTATTATGCAAATGGTTATTTTTCTGTAATGGATGCAAAGAAATGAGATTTCTGAGTAATGTGGAAAGTGCAAGTTCACTTTTTAAAGAATCTGACAAACTGTACTTCAGAGTGACTATTCCATCTTACATTTCCACCAACATTTTTTTTTTTTTGTCTTTTTCGTTTTTTTATCAGTACCAGGCATCGAACTCACGTCGGCACACTTGCAAGGCAGGCGCTTATGCCGCTGAGCTAAATCCCCAGTTCTTAGTGTTGAGTTTTGAGAAATCTTTATAACATTCTAGATTCAAGATCTAGAACAAAGATGGTTAGTAAATTTTTTTTCCTTTTTATAACTTTTAATAAGCTAAAAGTGCCAATGTTGATGAAGTCTAATTTATACCTTGACTTAAATGTAGTTTTCCTCTCCCTCCCACTTCTGGTGCTAAAGCCTCAACAAAAGGCCTGTAATATGCTAAGCATATACTCTATCATTGAATCACACAGTCAGCCACATGTGACTAACAGCTACTGGAAGCTCTAAACTCTTTGCTGTGCTCTTTTCCCTTTCTCCTCGGTATCCACCTTTTCTCTGGATAATACTGTTTAAATTAGCTAGGAACTGCCTTCAAATAAATACTGCACAGTTTGATCCCCTCATCTGAGTTTCAATTCTCTTGTTATGATGATAGATATCTCAATTTCCACCATCAAAACTTTATCACTTTATTGTTATATATCTCATCTTCAATTCTCACTAGACTATAAACTTCATGAAAGCACACCTGTCTGATTTATCCCAGTGAATCCCCGTGTAAAATAAGCAGGCTGTTCTAAATGTATTATTTTCTGACCATAATAATGAATCAAATTACTTATTTTGAATACAAATTGTCTAGGAGGTAGGTATATTTTCAGCTCCACAGTTTGAAGTCCTTCATTACTCTAAGAAACATGTATTTCATAAAATTTTTAAGGTCTCAATATAAAAATACATCGAGAACATATAAATTGTCCTTTGCAGAATACTAGCAAGTTCTCTACAATTAGTGTTTCAATGCCTTGCAGTTTTCCACTTTGACACAAAATTAGGTCATGAATTGCACACATGATCTTTCAAATGTCAGTAATAAATCTAGTTGAGTTTTAAAATGCCAATAAGAGATTTTACTCTGTTACAGACTCTTCATCAGGGTTCATAAAATACTGATAAAATTGCTCCAAGAAGTCTAAGCAATAATATTAGTTAATTTTTACTAAGCATTTACTAAGTGCAAAACATACTCCTTTTTTTTTGAGATAGGTTTTCACTATGTAGTTTAGACTGGCCTTGAATTCACTTTGCAGCCCAGGTTGGCCTCCAACTCATAGCTTCATTCACCAAAAGTTATTTTAGGTCAGAGATGGTGGTATATACCTGTAATCCCATCATTCATGAGGCTGAGGCAGGACTGCTGTAAGTTTAAGGCTAGCCTGGGCTAGTAAGTGAGTTCAAGGCTAGTCTGAACTACACAGTGGAATCTGCCTCAAAAACCAAAAACAAAACCCAAAAGTCATTGCATTTATTTTTTTCTTTCAAAAGTTTTATCTGGTTTTATTTATTTTCCAAATCCATTTCAAGAGTCATTTTAATAAACAGAATATAAGAAAACAAAAAAGCACATAGCTTTATTTATAACTGTCCCAAACAAAACTAAATGCCTATGAAAAGGACAGCAAATAAATTATAGTAAATTTATACAATGGAACATACAGCAATGAAAAAGAAAAAAATATTTTTAGAAGGACAAATTCCCTCCCAAAAATAAAAATAGGATGAATCCCACAGTCATGTTGATAAAAGACTCTAGACAGAAAATATGACATACTATGTGATTTCATTTACTTGAAATTCAATATAAGAAAACTCATCTAGGCCTGGGGGTGTAGAGTGGTAGGGTACCTTCTAACATGTGCAAGGCCCCAGGTTGGATTTCTAGTACCCCAAAAGAAGAAACAAAAAAACTAATCTATGGTAGTTAAGAGATCAGAGAAGTATGATTACTTCTGGTAGGCTAGGTTAATACAAACTGGCAAGGGGCACAAGGGAGCCTCCAGAGATTCTTGGGTTTTTTTTTTTTTTTTTTTTTTTTTTGGTGCCGGGGATTGAACTCACGACCTTGCATTTGCCAAGCAGGCACTTAACGCTGCAGAGCTAAATCCCTGGCCCTGCGCCTCCAGAGATTCTTAAATATTCTATATATCAACTTGGGTGGTAGTTTTGTGGGTATGCGTGTTTGAGTTAAAAACCAAGGTGCAGGATCAAGAGTATAGCTCAGCATCAAGGCGCCTGCCTGGCAATCACAGGTCTTAAATTTAATTCTTCGTTCCAAAAAAGAAAAAAAAAAATCAAAGTGTACACCTTAAGGTTTGTGTATTTTATTGATATATTCTTATATAAAGTTAAAAAGACAAAAGAAAACTAAACAAAAAGCACACAGTGAGCACAATAAGGCACTCTTTATACTGGTCTTGAGAACTAAGTACACCATTTATATGTGTGAGGGTCAGAACAGCGGGGGAATGGCAACTGGTTGTCTTTTCTATTTTCTTTCATTTCTTTTTGGGGAAGGAACACGGCTTCTCTATGTAGTCCAGGCTATCTTCAAACTTGGTATGTAACCCAAGACAGTCTGGAACCCACAATCCTACTGCCTTAGCTTTCCAACTGTTAGGATTACTGATATTGCCGGTGACATTCAGCCTCCCCCAACTCCTGCAGTTCTGGGGATCACATGTTAGGTAAGCACTTAATCCCCAAGTGATATTCCAAGTCCATCCTCTTCTTTCTGAAGCTTAAAAACACTAAAAAGAGCACATAAAGCTACAACTGCTTTCTCAGTAGCTGGAGAAGTCACATGTGTTTAGTAGCAAAAAAGTGGTTTCAGAAATTGGCACAAACAAATAAAAAGTATTCCCTACAGAGTCAACTCCGCAAGTGGGGTAGAGTATGTAGAATCAACCATCACTTCTACTTTCTATCTAAAATAAACTGCTTTCATACATGCTATTTATATTTCCCTTGTTAATAGTAATTGAGAACTTTTAAATAAAAACAGTGGAATAAAGTAATAACACAATGTTCTTCTCCCAATAATTAAAATTTGCAAAATGTATGTCTTTTTCCTTTTTATCGGTACAGGGGATCGAACTCACGACTGCAAGGCAGGCACTTATGCCGCTGAGCTAAATCCCCAGCCCCTAAAAATTGCAAAATGTATGTGGGAGAGGAATTAGGAAACAGCTAAAAATCTCCTACTAAAACCAAACAAATTTTGATCTAAGAAACTCAAAGCACGGTGATATAAGACGTTGGGTGAGATAAAGAATATGAAACAGAAGATTCTGATGTAGAGTAGTAGAGCTACTGACCAATACACACCTTTTTTCACTAGGAAGAGTAGTAACAAAAAGTGAGTAAATACATTGCAGAGAATGTTAACTTATGCCCTATAGTTTGCAGCAAGTAGATCAAACTTGTAAGTAGGCACCTCTGAGGAAAATAAAAAAAAACTCTCAAGAATAAGATCTTTCAAGCCAACTGATTTTCACAAAGGCATGGGTAAGAACACATTGGGTAAGAACAGTCTCTTCAATAAAAAGATATTGAGAAAACTGCATATCTGTATGTAGAAAAATGAAATCAAGACTTTTGTTACAGACCACATACAAAATTAACTAAAAATGGATTAAAGACTCATAAATATAAGACCTACCACTATGAAACTACTAGACAAAAACACAAGAAAAAGTTTCCTAAGTATGGCTGGGGCAAAAAACTTTGTGTACAAAACCACAAAAGCACAGGCAACAACAGCAAAAATAGATAAATAGAATTGCATCAAATTAAAAAGCTTTTGCACAGCAAAGGAAACAAGCAACAGAATGAAAAGACAATCTACAAAATGAGAGAAAATATGCACAAATTATAGATGCTAATATTCATAACATAAATTTTATTGAAGTCAATTAATTATAAAGCTTTTTACTCTAGTAAAGAAAAATGATAATTTTAAAGTGAATTTTAAAATACAATATGTATATGAAATAGAAGTAGCTCAAAAGCAAGAATATAACACAATTAAAAAATGGGCAAAGGACCTGCATAGGCACTCCTAAAAAGACATACAAGGCACAAGGCTTTCAAAAAACGCTCAATATTACTAATCATCAGACAAATGTAAATTAAAACCACAGGGATATATCTCCTTATAACTGTTAGAATGACTATCATAAAAAGGACAAGTGCTAAAATGGGCTCGGTGGCTCATGTCTGTAATGTTTGCATTCAAAAGGCTGAGCCACAAGGATTGATGCAAGTTCAAGACCAGCCAGGGCTACAAAGTAAGTTCAAGGCCAGTCTGAACTGCTTAGCAAGACCTTGTCTCAAAAAATAAATAATTAAATAAAAAGTGTTGGCAAGGGTCCAGGGAAAAGCAACCCACTGTACATCATTGGTGATGATGTAAGTTGGTATCACAACTGTAAACAGTACGGAGTTCCTTATGAAAGTAAAATGGCATTACCATTTGAGCTGGGGTGGTGCAGTGGGGGAGGCTCAAAGGAAAAAATTAAAAAACAAAAACTCTTATTCCCTCAGTATGCAGGTATTTAGGTGCCCGCCCTCTGCGTGCCTCTCCAACCCCCACTTGCAGTGGTGGGAATTGAACCAAGGGCCTTATGTATGCTAGGCAATTACACTACTTGCCCAGTATTTTGTATTAAAAGAAATGATAATAGACCATCATTCTGTCCCAGAGCCTTTGGCAGAAATAGAAAGGGTCACAGGGGATTACCACCTTCAAGAATGCTATATTGTACTGGGGGAGCAAGCAACATTCATGAAAATATGGTAACTGAGAATTCTGGGAATAGGCCATAATACATGATACCACCCATGCTCTTGAGCCAAACCCAATAAGGACTATCTTAACCTAATTCCTTACCTCTTTAATCTCCACTGGCTATTGGTCAAAGCTCTCAAACAAAATAGAAATAAAAGGTGTGGCAATTAGGTCATCATAATTTAAGATTTCTGCACATATTTTTACTTAATGAAAAAAGTAAAATACTATATAAACACGTTTAAAGAACATGTTTCATTTTGTTGTTGTTGTTGGGATTTTTTTTTGAGACAGGGTCTTGCTTTGTAGTACAGGCTGGCCTTGAACTCACTATGGAGTCCCGGCTGGCCTCTAACTCACAGCCATCCTCTTGCCAGTCTCCCAAACAGTGAGATTATAGGCGTGTGCCACCATGCCCAGTCTAAAGGATATAACTGAAAAGAAAACAAAAATTTCCTGTCAAAAACACACACAAAGATGTTCTGGTTAGCCACGCAAGCAAGCTATGCGGGGCCCAGGAAGACAGAAGCCACAAAGTGCCTCCCATGAATCAGCAGGAGACATGCTGGGTCTGTGCAGAGACCATCAAGAAGAAGAAGCAAACTGAATCCTCTGGTAAACCGCACACGCAAGCCATGCAGGGTTCAGAAAGAGAAAAACCAGGAAGCACTTCCCATGAGCATACTGGTGTGCAGGCTGAGAATCAAGAATCCTTCCCACTCTCCTGTAAGCAACCAGCTGGTTCTGAAGACAAGCTGAATTGATAGCAACTGAGATACAAAAAGACAAATGAATGCTTCAACTGTTTGGTTGACTTTGTAAACCTGGGGCCGCTGGTCTGAGCATCTATCAGGAAGATAACAGTATGCAGTGTGGCAAATACGGGGATTTCTATCCTATTTTTGAAATCCAATATAGTTTCCTCTGTTTTGTTTTGTTCTGTTCTGATTTACTGTTTTATTTTATTCAATGTTCTATTTTCATTGGTTTTATCCTGTTTTGTTTGATTTGATTTTACTATGTCTAATGGAATGGACAACTACTGTGAAGATAACAAGAAATACTATGGTAGTCATTGTTGATTTCCTATTATACTGCTTCAAAGTTCTGTACCAATTTCACTGCTTTGTTTTGATTGGCTTTATTCTATTTTGTTGGGATTTATTATCTTTAAAATAAAAAAAAAAACACACAGTTCATGAACTCCAGAAACTGACTGCTTGACACTTTTTTGACACTTCTAAAAAGTTGACTACAAGTCAAAAGCCAAACATAATGATAAAATAGTTTTGTTTTGTTTTTGTTCTTTTTGAGACAAAGTCTCGCTACGCAGGTCAGGCCAGGCTTGAGCTCACTTTGTAGCCTAGGTAGTCTTGAACTCACAACAATCTTCCTGCCTCAACCTCGTGAGTACTGGGATTATAGGTGTGCGCCACCACGTCCAGCTCACAATGATAAAATAGGAAATGAATCCAGGTGTGGTGGCTTCCCAGCACTTAGGAGGCTGAGGCATGTGGATTGTGGCAAATTCGAGACCAGCCTGGGCTACAAAATGAGGCCAAAGCCAGCCTGAACCGCACAGTGAGACCCTGTCTCAAAGAGACCAAAAAAAAAAAAAAAAAAAAAGGGGAAATGAGTGAATAATGGAGCTGAGGAATCAAATTACAAATCAAAACAAGCCAGGTATGGTGCTATATACCTGAAATCTTTGCTGCTCAAGAGACTGAGGACAGAAGGATCACAGGTTGGAATCTAACCTGGGTAATTTAACAAGAATCTATCTCAAAACAAAATAAAAAGGGCTGTGATATAGTTCAGTGATAGAGCTAACATATGTAAGACTGGTTTCAATCTGTACTACCAAAAAACAAAAAACCCCAACAATTTAAAAAGAGTGCTAATTTAATACATTTTTTAAAAAAATAAAAAACAATAACCATTTATCTTATATATTACTGATTTTTATAATATAAATATATTATTATTGATATCAATAATAATAAACAAAAATCAATAAATAATAAACAGCCAGGTATGGTGGCTCATGCCTATAATCCTAGCCCTCTGGAGGTTAAGGCAGGTTTGTCGCCAAAAATTGGAGGCTAGTCTAGGCTACATAGTGAGCTCAAAGCCAGCCTGAACTACCTAGTAAGATCTTACCTCAAAAACAATACAAAACAAAAAAAGAAACAACATTCCAGGGAAAGCAAGACATGCTGTAATTCCAGCATTTGGGAAGCTGAGAGAAGAGGATCACCGTGAGTTTGAGGCCAGCCTAGACTACATAATAAATTCAAGGACAGCCTGAACTATATGGTGAGACCCTGTCTCAAAAACAAAACACAGGGCTTTAAGCTCAGCGGCACAAGTGCCTACCTGGCAATCACAAGGTTGAGAGTTCTGATTCTTGGTACCCCCCCAAAATGAAACAAAACAAGCAGCGTTATGCATCCAGAAGCTAGAATTTAGCTATCACGGATAAAAAAATACCAGTCGACATCTGAATAATAACTGGAGTCATTAAAGTAAAAGACAAAACAAATAAACAGGAAATGTGTACAGATACAGTATAGAAAATCCTACATAAAGAACAGGCTACTGGATCTCTTCATGGTATCCCACCCTACCCTGTAGAATATATTTTTTTCCCTTTTCTTTACTTTTACTTGGCCCAAACTAACTCTGATAAGTTTTATTCTACCTTTAAAAAATGTAAAACTTCGGCACCAAAAAAAAAGTAGAGTGTAGTGGCTCATGCCTATAATCTCAGCACTCCAGAGGTTGAAGCAGGAGGAGGCTGACGCAGGAGGATCATTGCAAGTTTGAGACCAGCCTGGGCTACAAAGTGAACTAAAGGCTAGCCTAAAACTGCATAGAGAGACCCTTGTCTCAAAAAGACAAAAAAAAAAAAAAAAGACACTGATGATGCCATTAGTGTTAGTCTCCCTTTGAGCTCAGAATCCCTTTTTAATCAGAGGAAAATTGTGGAGCCAAACCACATGGACACCTAAAAAATTCTGTCCAGTTTTGCACTTACAAATATCTTTCTGAGAAATGTCGAAGACACTGAACACTAAGAATCTATATCTTTCATCAAATTGATTTTTTGTTTTTTGTTTTTTTGGTACTGGGGAACGAACTCACGACCTTGCGCTCATCAGGCAAGCACTTATGGCACTGAGCTAAGTCCCTGGCCCTTCTTTAATCAAATTGAAACAAACTCTCATTTAACAACAAAATAAGACTCTAATAGCAAATGACAGAATTCCTTTGTCGTTGTTTAATTGTTCTTTTTTTCTTCTTGAGATTGGATCTTGCTGTGTAGCTCAGTCTGGTCTCAAATTCCTGGGATCAAATGATATTACTGCCTTGGTTGTGTTTTCCTGACATTTTTTGTTACAAATCATTTAAAAATCTGTTTAAATTATAAATCTCTCTGTGTCAAGTAGTATGAAACATATTTATGCAACAATGATAAGTCGAGAAGCATTTAATGAAATAGATAAATTAAAAAGAACTAAGAGTAAGCGTTGAATCCAACTACATATAGGATTAAGACTGGAAAAGAGAAGGAAAAAAGGCAGCAATGGTTCTGAAAGTAAAACGACAAACATCAAAATTCAAGTGACAAATAGCAGAGAAGAGGGAGAGAGAATTATTTATCAAAGCAAGGGGTCAAGTCATACTCTAGATCTCAGTAAGCTCAATTTTATAATAATTTAGTATTTTTTGTCCTTACGTTTTCAGAACCTTGTGCCACTGAACTATATCCCTGGCCCTGTTCTTAGATCTTTCAAGAATTCTTAAAATTAAAACAACATGTAAGACTCAGCAGCTTTTGTTGTTGTTTTTGAGACAGGGTCTCAGTATGTAGCTCAGGCTGTTCAGTTCACTATGTAGCATAGGCTGGCCTCGAACTGATGGTGATTCTCCTGCCTCAGCCTTTCTAGTGCTGGGATTACAGGTGTGCGTCACCATGCCAAGCTCCAGACTCAGTTCTTAGTTTTACTTTATGTTATGCTTTATTCAAGTAAAACTTTAAAAAAAAATTGTGTGTGCATGTGTGTGCGTGTACACACACACGCCTGTAATTTGAGGGGGAGTTGAGACAGTGGGTTGTGCTATGTAGTTCAGGCTGGTCTCGAAGTCAGTATGCAGCCCAGGGCTGGCCTTGAATTTGAGGTAATCTTTCTGCCTCAGCCTTCCAAATGCTGGGGTTACAAGGGTGTACTACACCTGGCTGAATTAAACCATATTTTAATTTTCATGTTATGATTCAAAACCTTAATATATTTCAACTTATCAGTATTATGTTTAAAACTGTATTTTAGCTTTAATAAATTCAAATAAGTACATTAATTATAAAACTTCAAGATAACCCTATTTGAGGTGGGTTATGTAAGAGTCTCTCCAATAGCCCGCATTTCAAGGCTTGGTTTGCCAGCCTGTGGTATTACAGGGAGGTGGTAGAAACTATAAGAGGGGGCCCTATTGGGAAAAAGTCAGGGCAATGGGGCTGTGAACCCACTAAAGGAGATACCGGGACTTAGTCTCTTTTCCTCTCTTTACTACTTTCCAGCTTTCATGAGCCAAGCCATTTTATCTGCTCTATGCTCCACCATGATATATAGTATTGCCTTAGCACAGGTCCAAAAATAACAGGTCAATGACCATGGTCAAACACTGGCCTCTGAAACTGTGAGCCAAAATAAACCTCTTCTTCTTGCAATTTCATTGTCTTGTATATTTGTCACATGAAGGAAAGCTAATGCACTATCCTTAAAAAAACTCAATTCATTTTTCTAGCCATCCATCTAATCTTCTACTAAATCTACATGAGAGTTACCTGGAGTATTAATCAAACGTTATCAAGTGTTGCTTATTTCTGAGGGAAACAGCTTCTGGATATTTATTGCTTTACTCTTTTTAGGTTTCTGTATTATTTTTCTTCAATCAGATTTTATTAGTACATTTTAGATATACATAATGATCACATTCATCACAGAGAATTTATAACTGCACATGTTACATCAGATTTTAAATGAGTATATATTATACTATAAATACAAAAAGTCTTTTAGTAATTGGAAAAACAGCTCTTTAATCACTGTAATCTTCTTTTCCCAGCTGGTAAAGCAGGCAGGAAAACATCTTTTAGACTAGTAAAAACAACTCAATGCAGAATTGTAACCATACTACCAGGAACACAAAACAGTTTTCTCTTTGGTCTCTGTAATACTTAAATGAAAAGACTTGTATTACCAGTACAGGTATATGGTTATCTATAAAACAAGCCTCAGAACTCTCATACCTTCACAACAGGATGGCCCCCAGTAGATGCTTTTACTGCCCCTCGGCTACCTTCAGTTTCATAATGGGCTCGATGATGCGTTTTAGGTTGTACTTCTATTTTCAGTTCACATTGTCCATAATGAGTTGGTAAAGGCCAGTCTAATGGAGGTAATGAAGATGTGCTATAAACAAAACACACAAAGATGCTAAACATCATGCTACTGTTGCCAAACAGTGATTCAAATCACTTCTCTGCCAATACTTGTCATCTCTGAAATAAAGTCTTTCAAAATGAAACTTCATTTATCATAACACTGATTATGCCAAGTGCTTAATAAATCTTTAATCTGGACACCATAATCTATTTTAGCTACGTTTTGGTTTCCTTTATTTTCTTAAAAAAGACATTCTAAAACTCTGGAAGACTAAAATTTTCTCAACTATGTGTACATAATTACAAAAGCCACCAAAACTACAGTAATTTGATCCTTAAAGCAAAAGATACACCTTTCTGAATGCGTCTGTTTCTCTCCAAGAATCTAAAAATCTTACTCTCGGTCTCACTAAGTAAATCTCCCTTCCTGGGAGGAATCAGTGAAAGTCAGGCATGTTGCCTTCCCTATCTCTTCTCCATTATTCTTTTTCTCATCTCTGAAAAATGGTTTACATTCCGCAATATATTATAATTTGAGGTAAAAATTTCACTATTTAACTGAAAAAACCTGAACCATCTTTGACATATTCCCATCAGCCGGAACCACGAGTCGTACATTCATGACTGTCCCATTGGTAGCTTGTACCACCAATGAAACATGTAATGTGTATACCACCAGTGGTTCAGAGCTTCCCAACAGTGAAATTTTTGAACTATAGCCCTACTATAAACATGTCAAATGGCAATTTTTTTTTTTGTTACTTGAGACAAGGTCTTGCAATGTAGTTCAAGGTGGCCTTGATCTCACTAGGTGGCCTCGGCTGGATTCAAACTCACAGCAATTTTACTAAATCTCCTGAATGCTGCTGGGATTAAAGGTAGGCACTAACGTATGGCTAAATGACACTTTTAAAACTTGATTAATGAAATAATTTGAATACTTTAAAGGCCTAAAGATTGTTTAGATATACTGACACTAAAGATATAGAATTAGAAAATAGCATATTAAGTCAGTTGTGTTGGTGCATGCCTGTAAACCTTGCACTCTGAGAGGCAGGCAGGCAGGATTACAAATTCAGAACCAGCTTGGGCAATTTAACAACACTGTGAGATCCTGTCTCAAAATTAAAAAATTAAAACAAGGGCTGGAGATATAGCTTCATGCAAAGGCTCTTGGTTTAATCCCTAGTACAAAAGAGCAAGAGAGAAAAGAAAAAAGGCTGAGGTACATGTAGCTCAGTGGTAGACTGCTTGCCTAGCATATGGAGGTCCTGGGTTCTATCTTGAGTACCACAAAAAACAAAACAAAACAAAATCACCTAAACAAACAATAACAAACAAACAAACAAACAAACAAACCAAGAAGAGTGAGATATCTACAGGGCAAATATTAATGGACCCCAAACTACAAAAAAGTTACAGTAATCAGTGAAGTAGGGCTTTTAGTTTCCCTTCTCTCTCTCCCTCTCCCCCCCTCCATCTCTTGTCCACCCCCCCCACCCCGACCTTTTTTCTTTGCTTTGTTGAGACAGGATCTCATTATGCAGTTCAGGCTGGCCTTGAGTTCACTATGTAGCCCAAGCTGGCCTCAAACTCCCAGTGATCCTCCTGTCTCTGCCTCCCAAGTGCTGGGATATCTGGCATGTGCCACCATGCCTAGGCATCTTCTAACCTTTAAAATGGTATCATTCCTAGTATAAATTTCTAAATTATACAGTACTTTATTTAATGTATTTACTCCAGTTTAAATCTTTCAACTACACAACTGAAAGGTAGTATTATTTTTTAACAATTTTCTGTAGTGTTGGGGATTGAAATCAGGGCCTTCATATTGAGGTACATCCCCAGTCTTTTTATTTTATTTTTTAAATTTTGAGACAAAGTCTCAAGTTGCTAAACTGCCCAGGTTGGGCTCAAACTTGCTATTCTGCTGCCTCAGTTTATCAGAACGATGGGATTATAGGCATGATAATATCCACTATTATTGGCTAAGACATTAATTTTTATTAGGCTAAAACAATAGGTTAATTTTAACAACTGTTAGTTCTGTACTTGTTCTACAGATATGAGCAAATCCATAGGAAGTAAATTTCAGAAATAAAGTGATGTCTTCCTCAAGTGTGGTGGCGCAGCCTGGGCTACATAGTGAGTTCAAGACCAGCATGACCTACATAGTAAGACCCTGTCTAAAAAAAACAATAGAAAAAAAAATGAAGTTGTCTTCAGCACCACAGATTCCACATTATAGTTTTCTAAAAATAAGGATTCCAGAGATAGTTATTCATACTAATAAAAATTATTTTATAAAAGTTCCTAGGCTGAGGCTGTAACTCAGTGTCTGCTGATAAGCACAAGGTTCTGAGTTCAATTCCTGGTACCAAAAAAAAAAAAAAAAAAAAAAAAAGTCCTAAACAAGCCGGGTGTATGGCAGCACACACCTAAAATCTCAGCACTCAGGAGGCTGCGCAGGATGATCATTGCAAGTTCAAGACCAGCCTGGGCTACAAAGTAAGCTCAAGGCCAGCCTGAACTACACAGTGAGACCTTGTCTCAAAAACAAACAAACAAAATCTAAACAGACACAACTCCATATGGAATTTGTTTACTTTCTCACATGTGAATTTAAGACATGATAAAAGTTATCTTTTTAAATGAATTATAGATTAGACTGACACTGTTAATCTATTTATTTTATTTGGGGGGGTTTGTTTTTAGAGGTACCAGGGATCAAACTCACAACTGCCTGCTTACAAGGCAGGCGCTTATGCCGCTGAGCTAAATTCTCAGCCCAAAGAATTTTTTTTTTTCGTCTTTTTTAAAAAATCTATTTAGAAAGTAAAAAATTCGTATTATTCTTCATTCCTTACACCAAAATAATGGATTCGAATATTTATCTGGTAAAAATAAAAATATCATACATATACATACAGTAACATAGACAAAGCTTTATTAGAAATTCATGTGAAAGCTAGATTTTTATTTTTAATTATTTTAGGATGGAATAAGACTTTCTTTGTTTTTCTTCTTCCTTGAGAGAGGGTCTTGCTTTGCAGTTCAGGTTGGGCTTTAACTCACTTTATACCCCAGGTTGGCCTCGAACTCACAGTGATCCTCCTGTCTCAACCTCCCGAGTGCTGGGATTACATTTGTGTACCACTACTTTTGGCTTAACATTTTCAAATATAACAATATAAGCAATAAAGTAAAATCTGAGTATAAAAAAAACATAAAAATTTCTTTACAGAAACAACAAATCATAAACTTAAAAAGACAAAAAATAAAAAGCAAAGGTCAAGGCTGGTGGTACATGCCTGTAATCCTGGCTATTTGGGAAGATGAGGCAGAAAGATGGCAATTTTGAGAATAGCCTAAGCAACACATCCAGAACAGTTCTAAAGTATATCATTACCTATATACTTTTATAGTTGTAACTTTAGTCTATCTAAAAATACTTTTAAAACTTGAAGGAAAATAAACCAGTTGTAACGGCACATGCCTGTAAATCTGAGGCAGGCTGAGGAAGGCTGAGGCAGGAGGCTGAAAGTTGGAGGCCAGCCTGGGCTACACGGTGAGTCCAAGGCCAGCCTGAACTACATAGCAAGACTCTTGTCTTAAAAACAAAAAAATGAAAACAAACAAAGAAACAAAAGACTTAAAAAAGAAAATAAAAAAGGAAGGGAAGGGAAAACAGAAGGGGAAAGGAAAGAGGTAAGAAAGGGGAGGGAGATGAGGATGAAAGGGAAGGGAAGGACAGGATGAAAAGAAAAAAATGATCAATTGTAAGTAGATAATGTATTTACATGCCACCAATAAACTATAAACAGGAAAAATGATCAGCAGCCATCTCTACCAACTCACCGAAATATTGGAGTGTGGCCAGGCTTTGGTTTGTTCCAGGTAAAAGGTGAAGGAACTGAAAGAAATTGGTCACCAGATGAATCTTTCTTTAAAGGATACTGAGATCCAAGGCCATCATCTACTGAAGTCTCCCGGGATGGTGATACACTCCCTTGATCATCTGAACAGAGTTCTAATTTTCCTGGTAGTATGGCAGCTTGATCTTCAGATGTCTTCCTTGTTTTCAGAGGGATATCAGTTTCTACACAGTACTGAAAGGGAAAAACTACAGGACCAAGGCCAGATCCACTGTGGACAGAAACACCAAGCCAGGTATCTTCTGTTACACTTACCCTAGGGGAGTGACCAGGAGAAGGAACAGGTGAATGATGGGGTGAAAGGGACCCAGCATAACAAACTTCAGCACTGGAGTGCCGCCGTTTCCCACAGGGGGAAGTAGGCCTTGATGAAGGACCTGAGGCTGGCCTAGGGCTCAGCCAATTCTCATCAGTGATACTAGATCTAGGAGAGTGGCAAGGAGATTGCCTGGGTGATAAGGAATGCCCAAGTCCATACTGTTGATGCCAGGACTCTTCTCCAGGGCAGCCCCCTGGTGAGCCACCTGGAGAAGTCAAAGGGGATCCAAGAGTAAATCGGGCAGCAGCTTCATTCAACTCTGAGTCCACATCATCATAAATGTGTGAAAGAGATTCACAAGAAGATGCATCTGAAAACCAGCTCCTAGAAGAGATGCTGCTGGCAGGACTAGGACTAAGGGAAGAATCCCGGTAGGATGGCTCAAGAGGAAGATAGAGATGATCTCTAGAAGGCCTCTCCAAATATTCCCCTTCTGGATCAGTTATATGTATGTCATCTTCATGTGCATCTGTTTCTTGATGACAGTTAGGTGAAATAGATGTAATTTGAATACTTGGGCACTCGAAGGGTTTGGGACCACCTAATGGGCTATATTTAGATTCAGGAACATCACCAGTTCCTTCATAGTTTTTGTGACCTTGGAGCTGAAACGATGGTGACAAAACAGAAGAGTGAGACGGTAATCCATGATGTGGCAAGCAAAGTGGTGAATTTAAAGTAGATGGAGGTGGATCTACATTAAGGATGTAAATGGATGCACAACCATCTGGTTCAAGATCTATGGGAAGAAGCAAAAAAAAAAGCAAAAAAAAACAAATTAGAAAATTTAGATGTATAAATTAGATGAGAAAGTAATAATAGTAATCTTGGGAGAAAAAAGTGGGACATAAAATTTATGTCATTATCTCCACAAAAGAATTTTTTTTAAATGCATCATAATTATTACATATTTACACATGTAATGATTTTTCTTCTCACATTTTCAAAAATGATAATGAAAAAATAGTCTAAAACCAATAAATGCTTTTATAAAAGAAAAACTATGTAAAACAGAACTACAGTATTGAGATGAGAGAGAAGGGTTCAATGTTTTTCAAGAGATATTTTTTTCTTTTGGGGATGTCTACTCAAATTCCCTGCCAGTAGCTAGGTGCAACAGGGGCCCCATGGCTGCTCCAGTAGGGATTTGCTTTGGCTGCAGCAGGCTTCAGTTAAGAATCTATCCCAGGGGCTGGGGATTTAGCTCAGCGGCATAAGCACCTGCCTGGCAACTGTGAGGTCATGAGTTCGAACCCCAGTACAAAAAAAAAAAAAAAAAAGAACCTATCCCAGATAGCTGCCTGGCAGCCTCTCTAGATGACTCTAAGCTTCTGCAGTCCTCTTCAATCAGATCTACAAGGTTCCCTCACCCCTACTAGCAGAAGGTTTGACACTGTACATGTGCTAGTCTATTTGTTTTGCTACTAAGCAATCTTTCCACACTCTTAGCAGGTCAATCCATGCCACAGCATAAATTCTAATATTGTATCTTTCAGATGGTATATTTTTGCTTATTAGTGATTTCTTTCATGAGCAGACCATGGTGCATCAAAAAACAGTGGTACCAAATGTCACAGGTGCCAAGTGGCCAGCAGCTGGTAATTTAAAAGGTCACTGGTACCAAAAACAGCCAGTGGCCAAAGTTGGTAACACTGCATTTGCTGGCAGCAGAGAACAGAGAAATGCCAGGAGATGCCCTCTTCAGTGGCAGGAATAACTCCTGACACCTGCTAGTAGCTGCCTGTTCCAAGCAGCAAGGATACCAAGGTATTTTTATGGCTTATAAGATTAGCAAAATTTTAAAATTCTATAGACATCGTTGTGGGGAAACACGCATATTCATACAATGCTACTAGGAATGGAAAATAGGATGGTCACTCTGAGAAACTCTGGCAGTTTCAAGTAAAATAAAACACACTTTACATATGATGCAGCAATTTCACTTCTGAGTGTATACTCTTTAGAAAGTTGCTATATTCACATAAAACCCTGTACACAACTGTTCATATCATTCTATTTGTAATCATAAAAAATAAAAACCCACAATGTATTTACACACTGGAACACTTACTGAAGAAAAGAGATGTGCTATTGATAATGTAACAATTCAGAAAAATCTCACTAGGGATTTAGCTCAGCGGAATAAGCACCTGCCTTGCAAGCAGGCGGTTATGAGTTCGATCCCCGGTACCGATAAAAAGTTAAAAAAAAAAAAAAAAAAAAAGAAGTGAAAGTAGGATATGTCTATAAAAGGAGGCTGCTTTTTGCTAGGGAAGTAGAACTATTCTGTATGTTGATTGTAGCTGTGACCATATGAATTTATGCATATTAAATTCATATCTGTACACCAAAAAAGTACTAGTTTTACTGTAATTTTTAAAATTAAAATTTTAAGCTGGGGGTTTAGCTCAGCGGTGTAAGTGCCTGCTTGGCAAACGTGAGACCATGAGTTCGATCCACAGTACCAAAAAAAAAAAAAATTACATTTTAAAATAAAACAAAAAGAATAAGGTCATGTGAAAGACATAAGTGTTAACCTAAAATGGGTCTCAACAACCAAACCGGGAACAAATTGCAGAATAAAATAGGTAATATGGGATCAAAATCCACAGAATCAAACAAGCTTCCATGAGTCCATGCTGATAGCAGTAGTCACATTTCTGTCACTAAGACACAATACTTGATACCTACACTTTAAGGAAAGAGAAGTTTATTTTGATTCATAGTTTTAATCCATGTTCAGTTGGCTCCAAGGGAGGAATAGAATGACAGATGGGCAACAAAAGAGAAAAGGGTGCTCAACTCATGATGGCAGAGTGAAGAGAGGAGCCAGGAAGGGAGATCCACCCTTCCAGGCCATGTCTACAGTGATTTCTCTCTTCAGATCCAGCTGCAACCTCTTAAGAGCATATTTGCATTTCCATGATCCAATCACCTTTAAAAGTCCTACCTCTGATCACGTGAACCTTTTGGGGGACATACTAGATCTAAACTGTAACACTGATATAAACAAACAACTGAGTAAATAAATGAATAAACGAGATGGGATAGTGCTTATAGAAGAATTATAATTAATAAATCCAGAATGAGGCATGGTGACACAGGCCTGTAATCCCAGCTACTTGGGAAGCTCATGCAACAGGATTATAGAACCTCAATCTAACAATGAAAAAATATTAAATAAACCGAAATTGAGACAGCTCTGTTGGTTCATGCCTATAATGATACCACTCAGGAGGCTGAGGCAGGATTGCCATGAGTTCAAAGTCAACTACAGAGTGAGATCCTGTTTCCAAAAAAAAAAAAAAAAAAGCCAGGTGAAGTGGTGCATGCCTGTAATCCGTCTCCCTCTCTCCCTCTTTCTTTCTTTGAGACAGGTCTCACTATGTACTACAGCCTGGCCTTGAACTCATCATGTAACCCAGGCTGGCCTCCACCTCACAGCAATCCTCCTTTCCCAGCCTCCCAATTGCTGGGAATTTCTGGGATTATAGATGTATGCCTGGCTCCCTAGATATTTCTTAACAATAGGACAGAAAGTCTCTCTAATCCACTCAAGAAAAAGTAGTCTTGTTACCTAGGCTTTTGTGTTAAATCTCTACATCACCGCTAGACTATTCTTTATGACTTTATGTTTTCCAAACACTCTAGGGAACTCAGAGTTATAAATCAAGAGAGATTTTACCTTTTTTTTTTTGTACCAGGAATTCAATTCAGGACCTCGCACTTGCCAGGCAAGTGCTTATACCACTGAGGCATATCCCCAGCCCCGAGAGGCTTTATCTTGAGATCACCACTTGCATCAGCATATAGCACTAAGGTTGGCCTATCCTTTATAGGCTTGTGGCCTGGCATTTTCTTCTCTTACTGTGTAATTTGTTTTCCTGGGCATTTTCTTCCAGAAAAGGCCAGTTTCAACACAGTTGAATACTTGATGAAAGGAAAAAAGTTTCTCTGTACATCATTTTGAAGTGGTGTATATAATTTTCAGCAGCCGTTTTATCAGTACTGGCTGCTTCAGCGTGCCTAGTTATGCTATGAATCCTAGTTCTCATTTTAAAATTGTGAAACCACTTCTTACTAGTGTCAAAAAGGCAAATAACAGGGCCCAAGATATAGCTCAGTGGCACAGTGCCTGGCTGGCAAGTATAAGGTCATGAGTTTGATCCCCAATACAAAAAAAAAAAAAAAAAAAAGATAAATAATAACAATAACAATGATGTGATTTCTACATAGTTGTAGTATGGCAGTTCCTCAAAACAATTAAAAATAGTGCACAACTGAATTCCAATACTTAGGAGGGTGAAGCAAGTGGATCACAAGTTCAAGTTTTGCCTGGTCTATGTTAGCAAGACACTATCACACAAGGTCACTCATGAGTTCCATCCCTGGTACAAACACACACACACAAACACACACAAAACCCTCTCGCCAAGCATAATGGTGCACTCCTATAATCCCAGCACTCAAGAGGCTGAGGCAGGATTGCTGCAAGTTCAAGACCAGCCTGGGCTACAAAGTGAGTTCAAGTCTGTCTCCAAAACACATACACATACACACACACACACACACACACAAAAAAAAAAAAAGAGAGAGAGAGAGAACTCCTTTATGATCCAGTAATTCTGAATATATGCTCCCCTAAAAATTGAAAGCACAGTATCAGAGAGGTATTTGTAAAATAGAGGTATTCACCACTATTTTAAAAATAGGCTTAAATTTTTTTTTCTTTTGATACAGGACTCGAGAGTATAGGCAAAGCACCTGCCTGGCAAGCACAAAGTCCTAAGTTCAATTCCCATTACAAAAAAAAAAAAAAATTATATAGACCTGTAAACAAATGCTGTCACCTAGTATTTGACATTTTCATGTATCTCTTGGTCTACACAAGGGTATGCATACTTTATATCACTCTGATCATAACATTTTTTTGTTATTTCTAATCTTTATCAAATACATATGCACATATACCATAAATATATGGCTTGATAAATTTTTAGACACATCCTATGATAACACTTAAAATTTCTGGATGGAAGAGTGCTAAGTGCTACTGTATTTCTCAAATCTACAAGCCAAAATATAAGCCCTAGCAAGATTTTTCAGGATAATTGTAATGCTAGCCTAACCCTAAAATAAGCCTCAGTTAAGATCATCAGCCAGGTGGATGCATCTAGTACAAGCACTGCAACATACGATGGATATAATGAATTATAAAAGTAATAGTAATTAAATAAGTATTATTGACTAATAAACAGTAATACAAATTACAGTTATTTGTAAATATCCAAGTGGGTGCCTTTCAATGAGATAAATGCCTATGTAAACATAAGAATTTGAGATTTACCATCAAACAATCAGTACAGATACAATACATGAATAACGTATGCACTTCATAATGAATGGAAGTGGTTGTACTAACATAAATCTTCGTATTTCAGTACCTTGTGTGCTGCAATAGAGGTACTCAATACACTCATGTGAAATACAAAAAATTCTCTAAATTTTGATACTTGCAATATTTAACACTTTTGTTGGACCATTATTCAATTTTTTTTTTTTTTTTTTTTTTTTTTTGAGACAGGGTCTCGCTATATGGTTTCAGCTGTATGTAAACTTATTATGTAGCCCAGGCTGGCCTCAAAATTACAACCATCATCCTGCCTCAGCCTCCAAGGATAACTGTCATCATTTTTGTTGCCACTCCTATCTCAGTAAGTGTTCAATTAACATTCAATT